AAAGTCGACTTTTGTTTAGTCTTCAGGCACTTAGGCTTCAAAGTTTTACGTGTTCTGAAATGAAGCCATAAAACATTCACGTGGGACGTAAACTATCTACACTTTTATCTATACACGATTTCGTATTATTAGTAGATGATAAATATAGTTCAGATACATAGAACTGTCTGTTTGAGAATTAAACGACATCGTCATTGACGTCATTTCACACTCACAGTGAAATCATAGGCATATTATAGCCCACAGGTTAAGACTTCAAAGAATTCGGATTTTATTTAATAAGTTCATTTTATAGTTTTGAGTTACACCTTGCAATTTTTTTTTTACTTTAAGTAAATATTAAAGTGATTATTATAAGGAAAACTATGTCACAATTAGCACAAATATCTCTTTATAGTCGTACAATCGTGTTTGGGATTACATTTTACGCTATTGGTGTAAGCAAACATTGTTCACTTAACACGCGCGTTCTGAATGCGGATTCCGTGTTGTTTGCTACCTAGTTTTTGTAAGCAATGATAGATCAAGATGTCGAGAACTTATGAGAGATTTTCTTGAGAGATTAGATAGTTTTCCACGTATTGTGATTCGTTAGAGAGAGTCTACTACTAAGTATTATCTGATATTTTGGGATCATGGTAAGTTTTTCGCATGTGGCCGCCTGGCCGCGTGGTTTCAATTTATAGGAAAGAGTTTCTCCTAGAGTAGAAGCAACCTCATTTACATTCGTAATAACAGAACCTACATAATGAAGTCTTTTCATTCAATATCTCGTGACATACCATCTATGTATTTGTAAGCATTCCAATACCTAAGTATTTATCATCTGAATGACTCTATCTCTTTTCCATATCAATAGAATATAAATAAATAATAGATAGAGAATATTCGTACAAATACATCTTTATGAGATATAAGTAAACAAAACAATGGAAGTAAATAAATGTAACGTGTTGAACTATTATATTCCGTGACAATAGATTGATTCATTTATGTAGAGTCAAGCCGTTAATGTCTCATTCTCTATTGTATTGAAAGCAAATGTCACTAACTACCTACCTACCTGATAGTTACAAGTTTTTTTCCTCTGAAAATACGATTTTAATGATAGGAAATAACTTAAGTCTAGTAAGTTACTAATACTTTTCAGGATACTCTTGTTTAATTTAATGTATGAATGGAAGTAGATAAATATTACTACAAAATATAGAGTTTTAGCGTGGCTTAAAAACTTAATCGATCATCAGTAATGGCGGCCAAATATTTGGTCAAAGTCAAGAATTACTGGTATCGATCCTATATGTATAATATGCCTTCCTCGAGAAATTATCTTCATGATGATGAAATGATAGACACTATTGGGATAGAAATCTTGTAAACATCAAACGTTAATGATTACAGACAAACACGATGTAATGAATTGACTTATTTCTACAAATAAATTATAAATAATAATAAAAAGCATTTCAACTCAAACAGAGCAATGTAAAGAATTAAAAGATGATTTATAAAATAAAAATTCATAAAATTCATTTATTTTTGCAAATAGGCTTTAAAAAAGCGCTTTTACACGTCCCAATATTAACCCTACCACTGCTTCGGGACAATAAATGGGCCAGTGCTGAGAAGAAGCAGCGCAAGAAACTCAGTCACTATTATATCATGATGAATATATATCATGATATATACATATATATCATGATGAATCATGACGTAGAAGATGGAGTAATCATAAGAAAATAAGATATTAAAACTCCATGATTAATTTGCGTGAGAGTTTTTCAAATACGAAAGCCGAAGTGGTTTCTCGTTAGCAGACATGTGTCATGCTACACCCACTGGCCACTGATGATGAATGAACTCAAATATAGGTCAGACCGCTACTACAGATATACGGTTGTGACTGCACAATTAACGATGCGAACGTAAATATTTGACTCGGATGCGTTGTGATAAGTAAAATACGACTTTTCTCCATGTCTTTACACCTGATACTAGCCTAGTGGTAAATTACGGTTTCAAGGCTCGGCTAACGGCAACCGAAAGGGGCCAATATGATCGTGAGAGCGCGTTTAGCTGCGTCGTAACCCCAAAAAATGCTCAACTCGTTTGTTGTTTTGTAACTCAAGAACTGGCGTCTCCGTGTCCAATGTTCGACGAATATGTTACGAGTACTATTAGTAACAATTAACCAAATGAAAATTGGATCGCTGCCAAGGGATAGTATTACAGATTATCAGCCTATAAATATTTGTCTGCATGCTATGCCTATGTAATTTATATTACCTAAATAAGTGATTATTTTAGGTAGGTACTTATATCATCATGACACAAAGGATTTAAAATTGTATATGTAAATTATGCGTTATCTTTACGACTATTACAACAATGTGTGACGAACTGACAAAGCACATCTCGCCTTTCTACCACACAAGAATTTAAAATAAAATCCAGATTAGGTAAAATCGAATTATCTTTCAAAATGTAGAGTTAATCTTACAAAAGAACAGTTGATTTACCAACAGTAAAACTGAAGATTTTTCTTCTTAAAAATATCCTCTCTAACGGTGCCCTCATTTTACAGTTTAAGTAGGTAGTGTTTTACTTTAAATAATCATGGAAATAATAGAACCCAGAAAAATTAAATCACGGTTTTTAGCAAAATTAGTGATATTTTTTCCAATATTATCAAAATAGAATTCGAATGAAAATAGGTACTTGCGTTATTTTCTCTGAAAAATCAATACAAGATAAATGTTTGATAAGTAGGTAAACTTGACATCTATGCTCTTTTATAAGTCATGAAAATATACCCTACGTATTTATTTATGCTAAACATGGCTAATTAATATCTTTCTAAGCGGGTTACACGTCATGATGTGGGTAGATAAGCAAAAGATAATACTTTTCATTAAGAATAATCCGACACAAAGATTGATTTTCATTTAAATATGATTAATGAAGGGGCACGTCATTTATTGATTAGATATCATATTAATAAACATCGCATTGTTATTTTCGTAAAACTGAAGAAAATGTATTTGGTAGAGTCACTCCAAATTGTGACATACCCTATAGGTATTACCCATTACCTATCTCTATGTATTTTTTGAACTTATGAGAACTGTAATGATCTTGAATCTCTATCGAATGGTTATCTTGTTTTTTTGTTTGTTTATGTCATGCATTTATAATAGGTATTAGTCCATCCATGGCTATGTACTCGCTAAAATAAAACCGTGTGATTTTGCAATAGAAACACGTCTCTTATCTAATCTGGCCTTTCATTCGCGACCTTCGTTGTTAAAATTATAGTTTTAGTGTGACCGACAATATTTCATTGGCTCAGTCAGTATCGAAGTTACTACACCTGATATTAAAGTTGCGATAAGAAAAGTTAACTCACAAATCTCTATCATGAGGTATTTATTTTTTCATGTATCTATTGCGAAAAAGTTATTATTATTTAGTATATTAAAATAAATGTACCTACAAGTAATATGGCATTTTATTAACTGTAAAAATCTGTGACAGCTGGATTTGTTATTTTATGGTTTTGTACTTCAACTCCTTGAAGACATGTTAACCTTTCCTTGTAACTAAACATGCATTGTAATTTACGTCGTTCATTAATAACCCAGCAAAACCTCTTCTGAAACATTTTTAACCTTATTGCTTTGTTACTAAAGTTCTATCTTCATAATTTAATATGAAGGTAATCAGGTAGGATGTAACACAAAAATGTAGAGTCAGTGATTTAGTTGGTATGACATCTTTTATGACTGAATTGTTTGTAAATATAAATGTGATAATGCAGTTAAGGGAATATTTATTGTGATTTTTGTCTACAATAGCTTAGTAGCTTTATATCGACGAGTTAAATGATGTTCGCCCTAAGTCATTAAACAGGAAGAACAATGGCCTGAATAGGATACGGAATAATTAAGAGTATCGGGTGTCTGTTCCCCCACTGAACAGCTACATTGATTTTCTCTTTTTACACACGATCAGCACAAGATACTTGCGTGATGCGCGTGTGGTAGGGACGGGACTCACAAAGGGCCGGACGGCCGTTGCCCTCACTCACATCGCAAAAGCTTTTTTTCTGTCGGCTATGTTTAGTTTAGATACTTCCGACAAGTTTGAGGATAACGTTGCTACGGCGAAGTATTATTGGAACTGGATTGAAATAAGTACTTTTTAGGTTGGCGGATGTTTGCAGTTAAATATAGTTGATGGTAAAGCAATTAACCATGTTGATTCATATTGAACTGTACTGCGTAGGTACTACTTGTTTTAACTGCATATACCGACAATACAGCTCGCGCTGCTTACTCATCATTTCAGTGAATTCAGTCTTTGTTTACGTTTTGCGTTGATGTCTTTAGTCACACGTGCCTACCCACACTTGGGATGATTTTAACGGAGTGAATAACAAGAAACACTTCACTTTAGGGGGAATTAGGTGGATGAACCACGATGAACGGTTCGGTTCGGTCTTTGAACTCCTCCGGCCGAGAGCGAGATGGATGCAGAGATTGTTTAATGACAAATAAAACATCGATGCACAGCTGTCGCCGCCTCACGCGAGTCCGGACTCCGGAGGGTCCGGCCATAATAGGGATGCGCCAGGTAAACGTCTCCGCCGTTTTATTCAGAAAAAGCTCGTATTATTGAAATCCTAACAGACCGTTAAGTTTTCGAATAATATTTTTCTGTTGCTACCTGTAGTTTTATACATGCATTATGTATTTAAAGTTACATACGGTACCTACCAGGTAGAGACTAACGAATGACCGACCTTGATTTATAAGTTTTTAACACGCGCAAAAAATATTTTATAAATTCATTGGCTTCAAGTTGATTACCTGCAATATGTTATGGTGTGTGTGCGCTTACCTACCTACTGTTGATTCATAATAATAATGCAGGTATCCTGGTATGAGTGTGTGTAATGTTGTAGTGTGTTGGTTGGTAGCAAGGAGCTCGAGGCTGCTCACCTATATGCGCCAGGTCGATTATGGGGATTTCACAGCGCGAGAGCAGCGTCTCCTCCTGCGGGGCGGCCATGCTGCTGCTGCTGCTGATACTGCTGGACTCCTCTGGTCGTCGCACACGTCAGACACCCACTCAGCCGAATCACAGACTCGTTATCACTCGACTTCCACAGTAATTAGCAATTAGCGATCGCGACACCGAAAGATAAAGGATAGGGAAAATGACAGATAAGCACTTATAAACACCGTACGGTAAGACTAAACGTTAAAGTTTATTGAAGTTGTGAATGGTCTTTTGATTACCCCTGGTATAGAAGCGTTCAGAACTCATTTGCATAACCTTGTAGTTCCTGCTCGAGGCGTTCTGCGATCTGACGTAGCAGCAATAAGCTATACTGACTTGACACATTAAAAATTGGTTTCCGTTTCTCTCTGAGAGTTAAGTGTGTGGATACGTTGCTCCCGCGTGTGCGACCCGACGGCGTCGCGCGCCCCCCGTCCCTGCGAGTTTCGAATGTCTTTAGTCCGATAAACTGGCTCACCGTGTGCGATGAGCGTTACCCGGGCGTTCGATGTCGGCTCTCACTTGTATATCATCGCGCAGACTTTCGCAACCGAGTAGCGTGTCGAAACGGCTCTGCCTGGCACGCGGCGGTGTGGGGAGAGCGGGCTCGTGTGCGGTCGGGACGGCGCTCGCGGAGGCACTGACTGACTAACTACTGCGGTCTCTGCGCCCGAGCGTCGTCGGCTCCGTTGCTCACTTCGCGCCGCTGCGCTAACCTTCGCATGCCGCTCACTCGCCGTATAAGAACAAAATCACGCAATTACGTCGGCTGGAGATGGTATCCTTTTGTTTGAACGCCTATTTCAGTCTTTGTTGGAGCATGGCATGTAGCGACCAGCTATTTCTAAGAATCAAACGATTGTACGCCCCTTTTATGACGCTAAGCACGCGCTTCAGTAAGGAGCACATGTAGAGCAAATCTAGTGTTTTAGTTTTCTTCAGGATTTAACTTATAATTTAAAAAAATACATTTTTTTAGTTAGGTCCAGTTTCCATCAAGGCGGAGCGGAGTGGAGAAATGTTTTGATTAATCAATGATTTCATTTTGCAATAATGAATGAAATCTGATTGGTTATTCATAACACTTCTCTGCTCTGCTTTGGTGGAAATCTGCCTTTAAATACAATGATTTGTTTGTATTTTGAACTCTACAATAAATTAGGTGTAGTGCAAACAAGTTATTTTACCAGTCGGAAAAAAGAGGAATTGTATATCTGTTAGACTACGCTAGAGAGTTACATAAACATGAAACAGTTATTCATTACGTAGTAGATTTGAGATAAAAGGCTTTACAATAGTTAAAAGAATTTTAAACATACCAAGTCAGCGCCCTCTTTATGTCAGAGATAAGTTTAGCGAGTTGTATAGTTATTAGTTCCGAAAAATTCCGCCAACCTTAAAAAATGTCGCGCTGTTAACAAAACAAATGTTAAGAAAACCTAATTATGAAACATTTACAAGAAAAATCACTACAAAAAATTTATGCCATTTAATGATTAATTTATAAAATTAAAAATACATTAAAATGACTATGAAAGAACAGTTCATAAGATAACATTTTATTTCACTGCTTGCACACCTAATAATATTAAATGTAATCTCTTCTCAAAGTAAAGTAAAACGTATTAAAATAAATGAAAGCATAGCGCAATATAAAAATAATGTCAGTCGTCATACAAATTCATATTATTAGTATGTGGGCCCTTTTCAGTTTCAGGGACTTATTAATTATTATTACACAGAGACAACCAGATGTTCTACTACTCTACTCTAAAAATGAAAATGAATGAAAAATATAATTTCTGAAACGGACCAGTTGTCTCCGTGCATTTTTGTGTATTGTGTACGACCACTACGCGTTTACTATGTATCTTTTGTCTAGCTATATTATACTAAAAATATTTTGAATCCGGTCAGTAATACCCCATCTCACAAATTGGAATTTACGTTTTGAATGTTCGTCACGCGCGCCTGAATAAACTCTACTGTCGGCGTAGAATAAAGTTTTAAAAGTAAAATTAGCTAGTAAAAAAATCAAAAGTTCTTAAAAATAAAGTGAGATTGTTTTATTTATAGGGTTGGTAGCATTAATTTACAGGTCGTTCATTTGAGGCACCGCTCGAAGTAGGACGAGCCGACGTAGCCGCCGCGCATGGCTCGCTGGACATGCTGCTCGAACAGTCTTCGGTTGCTTTGGAGCTCGTCTGCCGCTTCTTTGTTTAGTGGGTCTTCGGGGTTTGGTTCCTGGAATAAGTTGAACAGTGAGAGAATTAACAAACACAAATTATTACAGCGACCGCCTGCGACTTCGTACGTGTGGACCTCCTCTGACCTCGTTTTACCCTCTTAGGGATGGTTTCGTAAAATCCGTTCAGTGCATATCTAGTCTACACTATGGAACTTGACAAATTTCAAGTTTGTAGGTGTTATCGTTTCTGAGATTTCGTGATTAATTCACTGATTACCAAAATAAAAAAAATAATAATATTATAGTTTTATTTTTATTTTGGCACATAGGTTAATCAGAGTATGACAATGATAAGAAACACAGACATAAATTAGATTTCAACTGAATAATAATGCCTCGTCCAATGCTTGCCAACAAGGCCTCTACCAAGGACTTTCATAACGACATCATAAATCCAAGTGGTATCCTCGACCTTCACCAGATCGTCGGTCCACCGAGTGGGAGGCTTACACTACGTTTTTCGGTATGTAAGGTACATAACATGTGACTCCATTTAGGTGTTTGAGTGTTTGAAGTTCTCACTTGAAAGTTTACACACATCTTGAAGCTTAAGAAAGCTCAATAAGTTGATTTCTTAACTTTAGTAAGAACATGAATTTGTTTTGTAGTATATCAGAGACATTTGACATCTCTGTAAGAAACTTTTACTGACTTTAACCATGAATGTAGCTTACATGATTTGCATGTTTATGTACTTATTGTCTTTTTTTCATTTCTCTTGATAACTTAATTATTAGTCAAAATAAAGTATATTCTCACCAAGAATAAATATTGTAGTCCGTAAACTATGGAGTTGACCGTGAGCACTGGTTTCCAGTCTTCTCTGAGTATGTTCAGGCACACATTGCCATCCAAGTCTATGTTTGGGTGATACACGGCAGTTTCACATTTCACCTTGGGCGGTTCATGAGGATAGTTTGGTCCTACCTGTAAATTGTACAAATTAAATTAAATTATGTGTTAAAAGTGACAGAAACTTCGTATTTACCACTAAATTAGGCAGCTTGAAAGCTACAATCGGCATTGGTAAAGTTTCTTGACAGACATTTTGACCTTTCTTCAAGGTACCTAAGAAAGTTGCCAGAATAAAAATTCCAGTTTTACTAAAATTGATTTTTCATGCTTTCAAGTGGAGCTTGACATTTAAAAAATGAAAGACTCATCCCAATATTCATACCTACACATGTATTTATAACTTTTATCAAGATCCATTCATGTCTGGGGCTAGATGAAAGAAAGTAGAGCTTCTACCAATGGATGGTGCTATCTCAGGTGCTATTTAATGGATAGCAGTCAAAAAATCCACTCTTAGAACTCATCTAATAGTGTTATGGATGGCTGATAGTAGATAATTAAGAATAAGAAGAAAAAAAAAAGATCCATCCATAAATAGCTGAAGTGGCAATGAGCTGGTCAAAGTAGTAATATCTGCTGTAGAAAGCGTAACAACGCCCTGTATCAAGATGGAATGGCGATATAGCCATAGTAATAAAGCTAGAGAGAACATGATGACAGACTAATCATGTTGTGCTCATGATGCATGCCATGCATCAATAATGCAGTAGAAACAAAATTACATTACTCCTTTGAGTTACAGCAAAATTATATCTATTAAATGGCAGAATCATCATAACCATGGAGCACTCTGTAGAGAGAGCAGAGCTAAAAATACAAATAAACTCCATCTTTAGGTTTTATTGACATTTTATGGTTAGATGAGATGTGATAGGTACAACTACAACAAGAAGAACCTGACTCTACGCAGATCCCTGGATTGATAAGAAAACAATTGTTAGTCACTGGAAGAGATGAAACTTAATAAAAGCATGTTAGAAAAATAAAATAAACTTATTCATACCTTAAAACTAAATACAAATCTGCCACCTCTGTAGAAACCTTCATCTGGACATATGATAAGTTTGAAGTTGAGCAGGTCATCAGGGTCTGGGAATTCTGTACTGCATGTTTTTGGAAGATTCAATTCATTTAAATCTGTAAATAATTACAAGTGTTTTGGTACGTTCAGTTTGGTATGTTCTGTCTGAAATCTACAACTTTTTATAATAATTGTGTATGATAGTGATGATGTTTTTTGTGACATTAATCTTCTGCATTTAAGTGGTAATAAAAAGTTGTTTTACAAACTGTATAAACATTGAGTTTATTTCAATTATTATCAAAATTTATTATAACTTTCTTAGTTACATCCGAATTGCGTCTACTGCCGGACAAATACCACTATGTACAACTAACACAATACCTATTGGTAGAATGGTAGGAGCAAACAGATTTTCCTTATGCAATATTAGGGGAAAACTTTTTCTCTTCAAATTATTGGTGAACTCGATATGCGCATCATGAAACGCACATCAATTTTATTAATTAGTATCAAAAACAATGACATTGTATACAATTTGTAAGCTTCTTCATAGTTCTACCACACACACTAAGACTATTTCAGCGTAAATAAGGCACTCTACATCCTAACAAAAATTTTTAAAAGATTGTAGACTTCAAGTAATTATAGATGCCTACAGGTGATTTAAAATGAATTGGTTGTAAATGGTTCATTTTTATAGGGACTTATTCAAGAGGTAACTCATCATCTTTATCTATTTACCTTTTGTGATCCGCAACTGTGCTGCTGACGCTTTTTTTTGTGAACCCCCTGCTCTTGCTGAACCTTCTTCATCCTTTTTTTGTTGTTTTAATGAAAACAGTTTGATCATTTTCCTAATCTAATCGATAAATAGAAATTAGAAATGAAAGCACGATTTATTTTGACAGCTAATTTTTGTATCACCCATTCAATGTCGTAGTCGCAGAGGGATATGCAAGATCTATTTGACAAATAAAAATGTATGTTTGAATTCAATTAACCTATCATGAATCATTATGAGTTATTCAAGGATCGTTTTTACCAATCATAGCACATTACTGTAAATTCATTGTACATAGCTCTTTCTCATTGGTTGCANAACCGCCTAGCTTGACGTTTCCCGCGCTTTCTCATTGGTTGCATAAATCTGACTTATTACTTTTTAATTTAGATCTTCATTTCACGTATCAAAGGAATAGAATAGAAAGTTAAGTTTCTTAATGGATAGTTGACTTTATGAGGTGAATCGTATCGTAATCGTATTTACTGGTTATTTTAAACATCAAGGGCACATCCCTATCTTGTACCGCTTGCTTGTGTTTTTTTGTCTGTGGAATTGTGGAATTTGAGTTGTCAATTTTTGACTGTAGCTTTGTGAGCGTTTCTGGTTTTATCTTTCATGAAGCAGATTTTCGCATAATTTTATTTATTTAATGGTGTAATACATAATGAAAACTTGAAATAACATTAAATTAATCTGTCATTCATGCAGTTTCAGTGTTTCTTGATGTATAACTCTACAGGACCTTATAGTTACAACGTGTAATAGAAACTTACAAAATGGCTAGTGAAGATGTGATCGAATTGGGTTCTTCTGATGATGAGGCTGAGCCTGTAACTAAAAAGGTAAAAACAATTATCTGAACTCGAATTTAAAGTTGTAATGTTACTAATGTACATTTTCTCTTTTAGATAAGGCCAATGCCAAACGCTATGGTACATATCCCAAGAAAAATACATGGAGTGACCATAAAACCGGCGAAAAAGAGTGTTCCTTGTGTCCCAAAAGAATTGGCTGGTAAAAATGTAACTGTGACCAAAATAGCTAAAGTAAATGTTATACCAAACCCCTATGCATTAAAACATAAAGTAAATGGTAAGCCAAACCAACTAAAACATGTGGCTACAGTGGTATCAAAAAAACCAGTCGCACAAACTGTCCAGAATAAACCCATAAATCCACTCAGTTTAATGAAAAATATAAATTCACAAGTTGTAGTCAATAAAATACCTGCTCCTACAATTCAAAGAAGTCAAGTATTGAAAAATCCGATACGTATTCAAAGTCCACGATCTATCAACAATTTGCCACCTAGTATCACTGTTACTAGAACTACAGGAGTGCCCAAACGGACAGCGCCTTCCTCTGTAACAAGTGCTGGACGAAAGAAGCAGAAGCTAAATAAACCGAAAACAACACAACAAGAGGTTTTGACTGTAGAATTGGACGATGATGATGTGTCTGCAACATCTAGTCCGCAATGGTATCTGAGACCAGAAGAACAAACAAGTATTTTAGAACAGGAAAATAATAAAGAGCCAGAGCCAAAGGCAGCTTCTTCCAACCTTGTAGAAATAACTATTGAAGATAGTCCTGTAAAGCCCCCTCACATTATGAGGACTCATCAAATTGGGGCTGAACTCCCAGTGACAATTGATGATAGTCCGGTCAAAGTTGTGGTGGAGAAAAATACTGCTAGCGGTAGTGATAATGAGGTTACAGTTCAGAATAAAGTGCCACATAGTAAAAAGAAGTTAGAGTACCCTAAAGAATCACAATCGGCTAATGAACCAATTGAAATAGAAATTCCTGGAGTGTCAGTAATAGAACCAACTAAAGAATCTGAATCAAGCAGCAAACCAGATAAACCTTCTGCTAATGTGAATAAACCTATTGTTGAGAATATTATTATTGAAATTGAGGAATCACCACTGAAGGTGGACCATGGTCAAGCCACAAGTACTCCAAAGAAAAATCATAAAAAACCACAGTTGGAAGTACCTGAATCCCTAAAACAACTTAAAGATGATGAACATGAACAAGTTGATGAGTTAAGTGAATTTCATCCTGTATATCGAAGCTTTATTAAACTTTGTTTCCAATTAGAGAATTCAGAAGACATGAAAAAGATAGTTGAGAAGAAAATCAAGACATATTACAGACAGGTTCCAAAAGAATACACAGAATCTGAAGAGTTTACGGATATGGTGGCTGGAAAAATATTGTCAATGAAGGCTAGCCCTGAAAAGATGTATTTGTACATAAAAGACATTGTTGATGAATTGAATTTGCAACGAAAGATGGCAAAATCACAAGTGTTGGCTACTATCACTGAAAAGAAAGCAGGTAATTAGTTTTTTATTTTTGTTTGTATAACCTTAAATATTTATCTAAAGTTGATTACTGTAGAGAGAGGTCAGAAGATTATTATTATGTACACACACCGGCAGATTTAGCGGAACGCAAAAAAAAGTATGAAAATAAGGAAAATTACTACTTATCTATGAAATATTTATTATACAAAATAAAGAGATAATTAAAATAAAATAAAATAACATATATTTTTTAAATATTTAGTCGTTTTTATTTAATAAAAAATCATCGAAACGAAATTTCAATTTTTCAGTTTTGAACAAAAATTAGAAATTGTGGCCAGATTAAAAATTAGGGTAGCTTATCACTATCCAAATGAATGAATTAATGATGGGTATTTCCCCCTCTTGCTCTGATGATGGTTTCCATTCATCTGAGCATGCTGCAGTTAATGATATGAAGGGTATTTTGGGGCAATGTCTGCCATTCCTCTAGTAACGCGTTTCTCAACACCACCGGTGGTATTCTGAGTTTAACACATCTTTTAAGAAAGTCCAAGACATGCTCTATAGGATTCTTGTCTAGGGATCTTGCCAGCCACTGCATCATGGGTATATCCAAATGGTTTAGATGTGCCTGTACTGAGCGAGCACTGTGAAAACGAACATTATCGTGAATTAAACTAAAGGAGTCCACAATAAATGGAGTAAATGGCACATCATGTTCTTCTAAAATGTTCCTAGTGTACCATTCAGAAGTCGTATTTCCTCCATCACCCACCACTAACTCCGTGCGAGCTCCCAAAAAAATCCTTCCCCACACCAGAATTAAGCTACCTCCATAAACCACGATATTTTCAAAATTAAGACTAAATGTTACGTTCTCTTTGTGTCTCCATATTCGCTATCTTCCATCGATCTGGTTTAAGAGAACTCTGCACTCATAAGTGAAGAGATCATGCCTCCAGTCGTTCAAGACCCAATCACGATATTCACGTGAAAAGTTCAATATGTTTTTTCGGTGCTGTGTCACAAGTTGGAGCTTTCTCGGGTATGCACGACCCTATACCAACTTCAGTAAATCTCCTGTGAACTGTGGGCTCAGTCACTCTTACTCCTCGAGTGTCTTTAAGGTTATTTCTGGCTTGAACAGCAGGTAACCGCGACTTTCTGAAAACTCGAAGTTGTAAAAAACGGTCATCCCGTCGCGAAGTACGCCTTTTTCTGACTTGAACCCTCCTCCTAACGACAGAAATGATCAATCTGTACCGTTGGTTACTGCCATGGGTGGTCGATACTGATCAACGACGTCTTACGGCAGCCGATTTGTATGCATGGCCGTTACTTCTCATTTCATCTGCCTTAATGATTTCTGACGGTGCTAAGCTGGGCATAATAAACCCTTATAAGTAACTGAATGCTTACACAACAAAATTCTCAGAAAAAAACATCTTTCACGTAAAAGAAATCCAAATTAGCAAAAGCTTCATTCAATTCAAAACACTCAACGAAACTGTTGATGGGGTAATTTAAACAAAATAATTAAAAAAATATACTGTTGGCAATTATTTTTTTCATATTTAGAATTAAATTAAAAAATAATGTCATAATTAGGCATTTTTTTCCTAAAATAATGATGATATTGATGCTTTTTTTTCCGTTCCTCTAAATCTGCCGGTGTGTGTATTTTGAAGCACTAAGAAATACCTATTCCTAACAAACTTCTTATAATGTTTCAGAAACAGAAAAGTTTTTGTATGGTGAAGAAAGCGAATACGATTTAAAACGTCAGAGACAAATTCGCAAACTTGAGAAAACCCTAAAGAAGCTGCACAGAGCTATACAGAAACTTGAGGAGCAGGAGGTTGATTTCGATGACGATGAAGATTCTGTTTATTTACTTACTGAAAGGTACCTATTCTATTAAATTTTTAAATATGGATTTTAGTTCTGCAATATTGATTGTAAAAGTTAATTTCACACCAATTAGTTTCAAATAAAATTAACTTATTATACTTCTAATTAACTAACACGACATTAACTAATGTTTATTTTTTAAGAATAGTTTGAGTTTGTTGTTTGTTTGTTGGTATTGATAATTTTGTTGAGTTAGAAAACAAACATTGTTTTAGCAGTACAATGTTAAGATGTATTTTGTAAAGAAGGAAAAGTGGGAGCATTTTAAAAAATGACAAATAATTAAATGCACTAGATAAATAAAGTACTGCAATGAATGATGGTCTGTGTAATAAGAAAATGCCAAATTAAGTATATTTTTCTTATGACAATTTTGGTAATACATAATTCATGTATTACTTAATTTTAAAATAAGCCATGGCTGAGTTTTTAAAACTTTCGAGTGTATTTATGCTTCTTATGGGCTTCAGCTGAATATATTGACTTGCAATTTGTTGATTTTGTCAATATCAAGCTATTTATTTACCTTAAAAAAGAAGGGTTTTCTCAAACTACTAATCTCAGTTAAAATTTAAAGTAAACTATTTTGATTGATATTTTGATTTATGTAGGATATCGGTCTAAAGACAGGTGTACTAGTGTAGGTGGTTAAAACACTGCTTTTAACTTTTTATTTTTGTATGCAGTGATGATGGCAGTTCTTCAAATAAGGATAGTGATAAGCAACTTGAGAAAGATCCTAAAGCTCTATTGAAAAGGTGTGTTGGTGAGATATTCAACCACAATTTTTATCATTGCTTTAATTTCAGTTTCGGTTTTATCCCATACCGTGTCAAGAAGACGTAATTTTGGAATGAGGTGTTGCATTGAATATGTATTGCGATGTTATTCTTTTTTATGTTATTTAGCATAAAACATTTCTTTTTATTTATGCTGTATGTTTTCTGTCCAGTAAGCAATATTACTTTCTAGTCTTTGCCCATGATTCCATTTGCGTTATATTAATCTATCCCTATTTTCCATATTCCATTTAGAAATTGTAGCCTGAATACATGTTGGATACAATTTATTTTGCAATTCATTTGGATGTTTTATTATTGTTGAAAGATCAATTGCTTTTGAAATTGACTTTTATAAAACTGTCTTGCATTTCAAATATTAAGTTAAGGTACTCTTTCTCTTTTAGTCTTAAGATTTGTGGTTTCTATGTAATTTCTTTATTTATCTAGTGCAGTCTTTGTGATGAATGAAATCATTTAATTTCGGTACATTACTTGCATTCTTGTTAAGTTTTGTTTTTTATCATTATTATTTGTTAAACTAAGCAAGAGCATAAGAGTCAATTTCTATCTATTTGTTGACTGGTTAATGTGAATCTAAACTGATAACTCTTATGTTTTATTGACTTTTAGGTATAAAGAGAGAATGGTGCGTGTACACGCAAAATTCTGTCAGCTTACCAATACGAAGATGCCTTCGGAGCCACGAGTGCAAATTGACGCAAGGCCTGGCCAGCCGTCTGGGCCAGCCAAGCGACTTGAGAAGTGGATTAACAAAAAAGTGCCAATCGGGACTCCATTACCTTTCCCAGACTTTCACGATGTGCTACGATGCGTGAGGGAAGCCAATAGCGAAGACAAGTTAGGATGGAACGAAGCTGACATTATGGAAGAAGGTAACAACAAACATATTTCTATGTATAGATAGAGTCTAAACTTTAAAAGTGCGACTCTAACAGAAAATTATAATTACAGCACGAGACTTGTTCACGAGATGCGGAAAGAAATTACAAAGACGAAGACAGGAGAATGAATGGAGGCTAGCTGCATCCAGAATATCGGTTGATATTGATCCAGCCGAGGAAAGTACTGACTTGAAGAAAAAATTGGAGGATAACAGAAAAGTTGCTGCCAAGAAAGAGACTGAAGTTTTTAATAAGTAAGTACCAAAACTTTTGATAAGTAATAGTGATGATCTTTTTTGAAACTGGGGATAATCATTCTCAATTTTATTTTTAGGTATGCTGATAGACAGAGCCAGCTCAAGTTGGAGGCTGAAGAAATTGGAGATAAGGAAGCTGAAGAATCACCTGTAGATGACGATGATGAAGATGAGCCTAAAGAAGAATCTTTAGAAAACACAGAAAAAAGGAAAGAAAGACTAAAAAGACTTTTGCAAGAGAAATCTAAAAAAGGTGTGTCCGAATCCGAGAAACTTGTAATTGATGGCACAGATAGTCAATCAGGAAATGAACATGCTATGGACCAGAAGTCGGACAAGGCTTCTCATGAAACAAATGACCAAAGTGGGAATCAACCCGAGCAAGAAAAATCTGAAACGCAAATTCAAACAAGTGACAAAACGAATAATATGGACGTGGATATAGAAATCATTCCAGAGAAAGCTACGGATGCATCAGAAAATAAATCAGATAGCAAAAAAGAATCTGTAATTATTCAGGAAGAAATTGCTAATAAAGAACCCGTTTGTCCAGTTAATAATACTAAAACTAAAAATGGTAGTGAAAATACAGCAACAGAAAATCAGAGTGCTGAAAATGATCTGATTACAGATGATGTTGATAAAACACATTTAATTAGTGATGACAGTAACAAACTCGAATCGGACATAGATGAACTACATCTCTTACAAAAACTCCATACTGAAACTGAAGCTAACACTTCAACACAGGACACATCAGACTCTGAATCTCCCATAGCGATTTCAGATACTTTAGAATCAAGTAGTGATAATAAAAAACATACCGCAAGTGACGTTATTAGTATTGAAAACTCTAGCTACTCTGAATCGGAAGTAAATCTAGAATCAATTGATTCAAAAGCTGACAAAGAAACAGATCCCCTTTCTGATAAAGTAATTGCAGAATCTGTAGATGAACATACAGAAATAGAATGTTCTAATACTGGGGTCGAAAAGAAACTGGCAATTACAAATAATGATGAATATAATGAATCAATAGAAGATATTCTTCTTGCATCAACTGACGACGAAGAAGAGAACAATAAAAATGCTAAATTGGTATATGAAGAAGAATGTGTAAATTTAAAAGATGATACTATATCTATAGGCGATACTGTTGTTGTAGGAGTTGATAAACCACAAAGTAGTCCTACAGATGACAATTCATCTGGGAAACAGGACGATGCAAGTTCAGTAGAGAGTGTTGCGTTTGTTTCTACAAAAGAAGATTCACCTGCAGAAATGAAAGATGTAGAAAATACAGACAGCACTTATAAAGAGAACACAGCACAAGACCAAAATACTGACGCACCTGCAAATGATATTATAAATGCTGAAACCATTGAACCAAAAGAAAGTTCATCTGAAGATACTATTAATCCTACTACGGAAAAATCTGATGACTCTTCCGACTGTCCAAAAAAGTCGCCCGAAGTAATAAATAACGACGATAAATCGCCGAATGCCGAGCATGATACTGTTCAAGTACAGAATGTTGGAAACTCTAATGATGGTAGTGAAGATAAGTTATAGTCTAAGCAATTCGGTGGTTTTAGCTTTGTCAGTGTTTCCAAAATATTTCTGTCAACTAAATGCATTTTGTTTTAGAAATGGTCATAATAAGATTCATTTATTGATGGAAGTCGTTAGGATGTGAGCTACCTAATACATAATATCTCTAATTAAGTAGCTGATAATTTAATCATTTTGCATATAGAGTGTAACAAAAATATTGTACTGTATGGTAAATAACAAAATTCAGGAGCCTCAAAAATCAACCATCACAAGAGTAATGTATGGGTCTGAAACAGATTTTTTTTTTACTGGTCTTCCAGTCTTTCTTTTCTTAGTAGTTGAAAAGCCAAATCATCATTGGATAGAGGCAGACTAATTGCGCCGCGCGCACGTCTATTTTATGTACCTACTATTGATCAAACATTTTCTCGCTCGAAATTTGAAATATTCAACTTTCAGTACATAATAAAAAGAATTCGTACCTACTGTTATTTTTTTAGTAATCGTGAAGTGTCGGAATGAGGGCTATCGTTTTAGCGCTCACCAGTTAGCGCCACTGTAGAGTAAGGTCCTGTCACTTGCTAGTAGCGAAGACAGTGGCGCCAACTTGTGAGCGCTAAAGTGATATGAGGACTATCGTATTTGCACTCATCAAGATGGCGCCACTGTAGAGTAAGGTCCTGTCAATCGCCAGGGGTGCCAACTTTTAAGTATAAAAACGATAGCCCTCATTGGACCCACTAACGTTATGGTGAACAGCTAATTTTCGAGGCATAGAAAAATTCAGTGAAATTCGATGAAGGATGGGCAAGGAAAGATGTTATCATTGATGTGCTTGTGTAAATATAAACCAAAGGAAAGTCTGATAAGAATGAAGGATTTTTATACTAAGTAAAATTAATAATATTATAGGTTTTCTGCATTTAATTCCTAGTTTTAAAGTTATAGTGAAATGTGATTGCTTGTTATTATTTGGTAGTGAGGTTTTATGTAATGAATTCTGTGTAAGTTTAGCGATAAGACTTAGCAGATTGCAGGATACCTATAATTTCGTAAACATCGTGCAGTTTATCACAACTTTATATAACGGAATAAATTAATGAATAAATAGTCTTTGAGACGTATATTTTGTATTATTATTACCAATTATTGACGTAAATGATGATACCCTTACTGTGACGATATCTATTCTAGAACACTAGAGTCTGATGGTCATTGAGCCATATTATAGATCAATGCCGATGGCACAGTGAATTAATCCTTGAATTGAGGACAAGGAGGCAACAAATCTAGTTTAAATTTTGATCGGGTTAATTTTAAAACAATGGGCTCTCGAATTTACTATGATGGATTTAAGACGTTCTTATTTTTAGGGTTCTTGTTTGTAGTATACTACAAAATTCAATAAAAGCTATTATTAAGTCGTCACAACATTTATTTACAATATTTACAAGGGTCCAGTCTTAAGTACATAAGTGTTAAAGCTATCCTTATTTATGTTGGTCGCGTCAAGTAAAGCAGATGGGTCCGGCGTGGAAAGTGAACTGGTGGGCAGCGTCTGCGTATCCTAATGGCTGGAAGTCGGTTATTGGAAGCCTTTCCAATCGCGAGGTCTTGATTTCTAGCACAATTTCGCCGGTGCCCTCCTGTTTGGAAAATAATAACATGTTTAGTTTGATCACATACTCTGCATAGCTTTGACAACACTGTGTAGAGGAAACATTGAAAAATTGGCATCAGATTGGGAATGTAAAATGTGACCTACATATTTTGCATGAATGGTTCATTGCTTGTATTTTTCTTCAAGGTAAGAGGTTTAAATATTTTTAATGGACCGTTTTTAGTACCTTGCAATCATCTTTGACCACTTGTGGTTCCCTGAACTCAGCAGAATTAGTTCCAAATAGCTTGATGTTGTTGATCCTGGTTGTGTCAGCTGGGATGTCGGATCTGAATAGAAGAATTACCAAAACATTTACTAATCTTCATTAAAGACAATAAAATCATCGAGATAAACAAAAGTGTTATTAAATAGTTTCATTACCGTTGTATTGTTTTAGTGCTGACGCAGGTATAAGTGAAGTTCTGCCTCGCGCCGTTGGACAGCAGTCGCAAGAATCGCAGCTGGATGGCGCCGTAGCCTTCACCGTCGTATGTTATCTGGAACAACGATTGGTAAGTGTTTTGTTTTTTGCCTATATTTTCTAAGATTGTGCAGAATTTCTATTTCAAGCAGCAATTTTTGAGTTGCACATACAAACTTATAGAAAGAGGAAAAGAGTGAAAAAGTATTATCTTTAAAGATCTTGAAGATGTGACAAAAAATTCCGGTTTCTACAGACCTAGCAAAAACGATACAAATCCCAGCTCAGTCCTAAGTTATTATTATTATTACCACAATCGATAAATAATTTAGTCCGGATTTGCAAAGGACAGACGTGTTACCAAAGAGTTTCAAGTAGCTTCCAAGCATTCTCTAGAAATTATTGCATTGGACTATCTTATAAAGCCATTGTCTTACCAGGTAGCCGTTCTGCAGCTGCGAGAATTTGTGTTTGTCCTCAGCCGTGCCAGTTCAGCCTCGTCAGGGTGGATGCATGTGCAGTGCTGTGACCGCGACAATAGGCACGCACCGTATCCAGTAATATCCTACATGTTGTTAAAGTCATTCTCTTACCCTGTATCCGTTCTGCAGCTGCGAGAATTTATGTTTGTCCTCAGCCGTGTAGAGCGCCAGTTCAGTTTCATCAGGGTGGATGCAGGTGCTGTGGCCGCGGCAATAGGCGCGTACAGGGCGGGATGCGCCGCCGCCGCGCGCGTCTATCCAGTAGTAGCCTAGGAACGGGTATTTATTATGTTATTATAGCGTATAAAGAGGAATAGTGTGGGGAGAAGAAGGCAGAGGCTAAACATTATATTCTTCTTCTTCCACCTTGTGCGTTTACACAACTGATATACCCTGTTACTTACTACTAGGGTTGTGGTCTAAAACGAAGAACGAATGCTCGAACACTCATGAGCCGCATGAGGCGTTTAATTGGCTTTATCAGACCGACGACGGTTAAACGTGCCTTACGAAACATTGAATCATATTTCAGACAGTCATGATTGAAGCTTGCTTGCTTAACCAAACTCGGAACATAAACTGACTATTGCAACACACGGAAATGGAACTCAGAAGCTCTCAACTCTGAGAAAGACTGTGACTTTTTTGTATGTGTCAGACATCACTAGAGCACAGCAAGAGCACAGATGGAAGCAGAAATAAGTATATGCTCCCGTAAGCTTTCAGTCATATTACCAGTTCCGCTTGTCAATATAAACCTGTTTGAGAACTAAGTAATAATTATGGTACCAGTGCCTTACCGTCAGTGAGGTTAACGTGGGTAGTGCGAAGGTCGCGGCACGTGAGCGCGGGGTTGGCCCTCGACCCTCGCGGCCTGCGCGCAGCGTCCAACGCCGCTCGTGCCGTCACGATCTCCGCTAGAACCTCGCTTGCCCACTCTGTTTCTTCGTCTGAAAGACAAGATACATTGGAATCATGAAAGTTTCTAATCTAAGGTACGGCTAAGCCAACTAGCAGCGATACAAAAGGTCGATTCGACTGTCGAACTGACAATCTATTCTGTCTCTTCCCATCTTGTGTATTTGTCGTAATGTCTCGTTCTCTCGCCAAAATATGTCAAAGTCAAACCCCTGCTATTCCAACCAAATGACCATGACATTGGGTTTGTTTACATTTGGTATCGCTTCTCGTTGGCCGTACTTTACTTGCTAATGTGATTGCGTGCGCTTCTTGTATTTGACTTATTAGGATTCACGTTTGGGTTTTAAAACTCTTGTTGGTTTCTATTTTTTGCGATTTGAGAAACAATAAATTATATTATGTGCGGAGCTTGAAACCTAAATTTTATTGGTTCGGTTTTTATCATGAACTGAAATTATTACGTGTCTAATCTTCTACCAGACCAGCGCCTGAAAAGATTACTACTCACCATCATCAAGGTTATCATCAGTGGTAGTTTCAGCCGACTCCATATTGACGCTTCGCCTCCTTCGTCTATATGAAGCGAACAACTCCGCTGGTATTTGCGGCGCTGGCGCCGGTGGTCCCGGGGGTCCGGGAGTCCCAGGCAGGCCTGGCAGGCCTGGCCTTCCTTCAGGACCAGTATTGCCTTTAGGCCCGAGCGGGCCCTCTGGTCCGGGGGTACCGGTTGGTCCCGTATCACCTTTCGGCCCTGGAGGTCCAATTGGGCCCTGCGAAATTCAGATTTGGTGAGATTCATAGCTTTGTTGTACAATAGCAAATAATTTTCAGTTCCATATTTCTCAAATCGTCACATTGTAACATGCAAACATGCATGTTTATTATGTTTTTTGTCTTACCATGTCCCCTTTAGCACCTGGCGGTCCAGCGGGTCCAGGTAGGCCTTGCTTGCCCATTTCACCCTGGTCCCCTTTCAATCCCATCGCCCCCGTATCGCCAATGTGACCCTTAGGTCCTCTGTTGCCTTTTTCACCTCTAGGCCCTTGAGCGCCTGGCAAACCGATTTTCCCTGGTGGTCCTTCGATTCCGACCTGTCCTGGAGCTCCAACGTCACCCTATGAATGTAGAAAGTAATTTTATCTCAACGTTATCCAGTATTATATCATGCCATTCCAACATCCCGGAGTGCTGATGCAGTTTTTGACCTAACCTTTTTAGTTGATTATATTTTAAGAAACTTACCGTGGGTCCAGGGGGGCCTCGAACGCCACGTTGTCCAACTTCTCCTGGTGGTCCAGTAGGGCCTGCAGGGCCGGGTTCTCCTTGTGCTCCTTTCGGCCCTAAATCACCCTTTTCGCCAGGTATACCGGGGCTTCCTTGTAAGCCAGCTGGGCCTTCAGAACCCTACGATTGTAATGATAAAGTGCCTTATTAATTAAATGGCGTGATCTAAAGGTAATTTTTTGTTACATGTGATTTGCAAAATATAATATATATTTTGTTTTTCTTACCGGAGTTCCTGGCATTCCTATCTCGCCTGGTTTACCAGCCAAACCTATAGGGCCGGCTGGTCCTGGGGGTCCAGTGCTGCCTTCGGGGCCGTCCGCACCCGGTTCGCCTTTGATTCCTTGAAGTCCAGGCTCGCCTCGCTCGCCAGGAAAGCCTGCTGGCCCTGTATCTCCTTTGGGGCCTTCTGGCCCTGGTGGTCCTTTGGCTCCTGTTTCTCCTTGTATTCCTGGTGGGCCATCTTCTCCCTTCGGACCTGCTGGACCTCTTGGTCCCTGGAATTTAACATATCAGATTTAGAAATCATTAATCTTGATTACTTGATCTTGATGCACCTAGACAACGTTAAGGATTTGTGGTTCTAAATTATTATTTTATGTCATTGTGTGGAGAAAATGGTACCTACCAATTTACCTTCAGGGCCTTGAGGTCCAGGTGGGCCAGCTGCGCCGGGGCTCCCAACCTCTCCGTGCTGGCCTTCTGCACCCCGTGGCCCAGGCTCACCAGGCACTCCTTTCGGCCCGCGTCTACCCGGTGGACCGGTTAAACCGATTGGTCCAGAAGGTCCTATATTTAAAAAACGAAGTCAATATAAAGTTTCGTGGTAAAAATGACAAGAGCTAAGCAGTATCTATGGAACGTAACGTGCCAACACAATAATAATTGTGGGTTGTAACATTTTACCGATTGGTCCAGTGTCTCCAGTATCGCCTTTGAATCCTTGCTGTCCCTTTTCACCAGGTGGTCCAGTTTGTCCTTGCTGTCCGGGAAGGCCCCGTGGGCCGTCTGCCCCTTGTGGCCCTGGAGGCCCAAGATCACCCGGTGGGCCCTTATCGCCCGGCAAGCCCACTGATCCAGATTCACCGCGGAGCCCTTGGATGCCGGGTGAACCAGGTGGACCCTATTGTATGTGAAATTACTCTTTAGAGTTATTATACTAAAGTGGCATAGACTTGTCTGTAGGAATACATAATGGAACTTGCTGTATCTTATGGAAAGATGAAACTTTCAGTGTGTTTCATTATTTAGCATCATTATAGTCTTTTTCACCTAAGATGATCCCTATGACGTTTGGAGTTTGAAAGATTTAGAGATGTCACATAACTAAACCATAGCGATTTATCTATCGATTTTTTTCGAAGAGTTAGTAAAACCTACTTTTAGAGAATTATTTTGTTTAGGTGTTATTTAACAAAAAACATGTTTTTTTGAATTACAAATATTATTGTAACAATTTTTATTGATAATATTCAAATTTCATGGTTCGTGTTCATAAAAACGATTCCTAAAAAGTACTGGTTCTGTTTCTTTAAATTAAAAACTATTAATTTATTTTCAATGCGTTTATTAAAGTCAATAATCGAAAAATATAGTTGATTTTTGTGATGTTTTTAATAACTAAGTATTCACTGCAATCGATTAATGAACCGCGGAAATAATCGATTGTATTATACAAGAAATACTCCAGCACTAAATCTATTCCGTTTCACACATTGCGTACATTAAATAAAAAATATTTTTACTTCGTATTTAATTGAAATATTAATCAATAGACTCAGATTTTACTATATATTTCAAGACAAGTAGTTAATTTTTTTTTAGTATATTGCTAATGAAATACAAATATTTTTTCAAAAATATTCTGCATATGTAGTATGCGTAATATGGATAACCTTGAAGTGTCATACGGATCATCTTACGTGAAAAAGACTATAGCTGTAATTTCAGTATACTTACCGGTTCACCAGAAGCCCCTTTAAAGCCCTTTTCGCCAGGCGGCCCAGCTTCTCCCTTATCGCCGTCTTCGCCAGGAGTCCCTACTGGTCCAGGCGCGCCTGATAGTCCTCTTGGGCCCGGCAGTCCATCTCGGCCGATTGGTCCTTAAATAAGTTGTTTACTTGAATGGATCGGTATTTAAATTTGTCTATCTACATTATAAAGAAATATTTGCTTCGTACTTACTTTTTCATGTAACAATTATTATGGTCTCAAAGAAATTTAAAAAGATAGGCAGTATGTGCATGACAGTTTAATTTAGTCTTCGTACCTATTGGTCCCGGTTCACCAACTTCTCCTTTTTGGCCACCGGGGCCTGGTGACCCTCGTGGTCCTTCACGTCCCTGCGGTCCTTGAGGCCCTTCGTTCCCAGTCTCACCAGGTTCCCCTTTGTCACCTCTTACGCCAGGTGGACCTGGCAAACCCATGTCTCCTTTTGTTCCGGGTGCACCCTGAATTAGGTATTATTATTTTTAAATAACTAGCCCTAAATAATGAATTATACATTGAATGAAATATATTATTTTCTTTTAAAGCAACATACTATTGGTCCAGGTAATCCAGCTTCTCCGAGGTGTCCTGATGGGCCTGGAGACCCAGCAGGGCCAGGTTTTCCTTCCGGCCCGGGTGGGCCAGGTGGTCCCTCTTTGCCCATTTCCCCTGGAGCGCCAACATCACCAGGAGTTCCCGGGATACCAGGCGATCCTGGTGGGCCTGCCGGGCCTGCGTCGCCAATAGGTCCTTGTGGTCCCACGGGCCCTGATGGCCCAGTCAATCCAGATGCTCCAGGTTCACCCTGTAAGTAAATAATAGTATAGGGCACTTACATAGGTACAGAGATTTAACTAAAATATCATTTTTGGGTCTAATTATTAGTAGTTATACCGTTGGTCCTCGCTCTCCAGGTGGTCCAGGCATGCCTGGTTTCCCATCAGGCCCTGGTGGACCGACTGCCCCGGGAAATCCACGAACGCCTTCTAAACCCTGTGGTCCTCTTTCTCCTATAGAGCCTGGAGGGCCAGGCTGACCTGTGTCTCCTTTAGGACCTGGTGGCCCATCAGACCCTCTACGGCCTCGTGGTCCTCGGTATCCCTAAAAGTTAAATCGTTATTAATTGCTACTATATTCGAAAAAGATATTTCATATTAAATGTTATTTTAATTTTTACTTACTCTTGGCCCCGTTTCACCTCGATCTCCAGGTGTACCAGTTAAGCCCTGCACAGATTTATTAAATGTTTAGATTGTATAAAACAACGTCAGATACTTATTTAATTAACGGGTATTTCCAATTACCATAACTCCTTTGGTGCCCCTTCTTCCACGCCTCCCTGAAGCTCCTTTGTCTCCCTTTTCACCTTGACTGCCTGGATACCCTTGTGGTCCTTGAGGCCCTGTGGCACCTTTTTCGCCTGATAGACCGATCGGTCCAGTTTCTCCTCTTGGTCCTTCTGTTCCCTGTATGAAAACAATGATTATGTAGATATAAAACAAAAGTAAGTAAGTTTAGTATAACGGAAATTTTGAGCAACTTGTTTACCTTTTGACCTTCTGGACCTTCAACACCGGGTGGGCCAGGTTCTCCTGGTAAACCTCGATCACCTTTTGGCCCTATTTCTCCCTTTTCTCCTTCGATACCTAAAAGTAAGTTTTAAAAGAAAATGATTTCCGATTCAGTGATTTTCATAGTATATTATAAATCATGATCAAATAATATTACCTCTTATTCCTTTATCCCCCTTGTCCCCTGGCAAACCACGGGGCCCATCATCGCCTTTCAATCCACGTGGGCCAGGAAAGCCAACCATTCCCTATAAAATATTTCGTTATTTGGTTACACCATGAATTATTATAATTGAAATGAATACCCATTTTATTTTAAATATTAATTTATTACTTGTGGTCCCTGAGGTCCTATATCTCCCGGTGATCCTTGTTGGCCTGGATTTCCTGGTGTTCCTGGAGAACCTTCTGGGCCGGGTAGTCCTGAAATGCCTGGTTTTCCTTGCGGACCCTAAACAAAAAACATTTTATCGTAATATTAATTAACTTATTTTGTTTATTAGCAAACAGGTAGAAAAATGCTAGTTCACCTGTATTCCTGGAGATCCTATAGGTCCTTGAGGGCCTGGCGAACCAGATGGGCCCATTGTCCCTGGCTGGCCTTGCGGACCAGGCGGTCCAGGTTGTCCTGAAGCTCCCTTTGCACCCTGTTGTCCTTCAATGCCTGGTATTCCCGGATAACCAATTAATCCAGGGTAGCCTCTTGGTCCCATAAAACCTCTTGGTCCCTATTAATAAATTGTACATTTGTTTAATTATGTCTTCTGAGTGGTATAACGGCTTTTGGCCTTTATTTTGTAAGCGTTGGTTAGATAAAACTTACTAGTTCACCAGTGATACCCGGTGGTCCAGGTGGTCCGTCATCTCCAGGGGGCCCATCTTGCCCTGGTAACCCTGATTCGCCCTGAAGGCCTGGAGTTCCTCTTTCGCCTTTATCACCAGGCATGCCTGGTAGTCCTGGGTACCCTTGTTCCCCCTTAGGCCCTGTAGCCCCGGGGGATCCCCGTTCACCGTCTCTACCAGCGTGCCCTCGTCTTCCTAAACGACCAGGCGGACCTGCGATACCTCTAGGACCTGGTGGACCCTGGTATGAAGAAAACAGGTTTTAATTACACATTAAAAATCACAGAATTTAAAGTATTAGTATATGGTAGGCAGTACTTACTGGTTCACCCTGTTCCCCTTGTTCTCCTTTAGGTCCTTCTGGTCCAATTTCACCTTCCGGACCAACAGGGCCAGTCAGTCCCATTGGCCCTTCAGCACCACGCATTGCAGCCTAAAAATATAAGTTAAGAGCAAATAGTAAGAAACAGGAAAAATAATTCAAAGTTATTAGTACCTAGCTAAAAATCTATTGGCCGATGACCGTAAAATACTTCTAGAATGTCTTTATACTTATGGACGTAAACCAAATCACTCAAAGAACGAAAATTCTTCAAGCGTATTTTGAAATTGTGTCTTTTAATACCATAACTCCTTAGTACTTAAAGAAACGTGACAAAACTTTTCGCCTTAAAATTGTTAAAGTCGGATATTTTTGAGGCGAAGCTTAAAAATCTATTAAGTTGAACAAACTTTGCGCCTAAAGTGGCTTTACTGTAAAGAAAAACTGATGTAGACCTCGTAAAGTAGGAAAAAATAAGAAATGGAATGTTTCACCGCGCCGATACGTTAAAAGTTTGTACTTGCCATGTGTTGGGATAACATTTGACGGAGCGCCTCTGCTTGCGCGTCTGGACCTTTTTCGTTGCCAGATTGGTGTAGCTAGAGAAATAAAAGAGCTTTTTAGGCATAAAACATTGGACCTATGCCTTCATATTTCAATCATATACCTACTTAGTTTTGATTTAAAATATAATTATTTATATTGCTTAATGCTACAATTTTACGTGTAGTTCAAAATAATTTGGAACTGCGATAGTAGGTAAATGGAAACTAATATGCTGATTTACTCAAACAGAGAGCACAAAATAATTTCATTAGGCAAACAAAGATAGAGCTTCATTTACATGCAGAACATGACAGATAGTTTCAGCATCAATGTTAATTGGTTGTGTTTGTTTGCAAGATAGCTAATTTCTATCTCAGACTATGCAATAGTTTCGTTGATTTTCTTCAATAATTTTACAACAGAAAACTTACCGGAACTACGAATACGTGTCCAGGTGCGCCCGGGAAGCCTTGCTGTCCTTCTGCACCATGTTTTCCTGGTTCGCCCTTAGGGCCCCGGGGGCCTTGCGGGCCCGGCGGGCCAGGGTACCCGCGCGGCCCCATGTAGGTCCCCGCGCTGCCATAGTCGTAGTACGTCTCGGAAGAATCGTAGCTGATTGAACCGTTACCCTGTTTATTAGAAGGAAGTGATTTATGAAATCATTTTTGGGAATAATAGATGAAAATTTATAGCTTTTGAGGAAATTAACTAAACTAAAGTTACTTTACGCCGCGCCGTCGCACCGCTCGCCTATTGTGGTGTAGGTACCCAATCGTAATACGCATATGCTTACCAGGAGGGGTTAACAGGAACTATTAAAAAAACTTATAAATGTGGGTAGTATGAGTGATTTTAAATTAATGTATTCTAAAAAGTTTTCCCTTAAAAAGAAAATGTTTTTCTAGTAGCTAGGTTAACCTTTTACTAAAGAACTGGGTCAGTCAGCTTTGCAGAGTTCAATGTTAGGACTTATCATGGTGGCTTTGATGGCGTACAGTCGCCAGCATATCACACTAGTTTGTTGAAAAATAGCACATATCACAACTGCAAGAGATACGAAAATTGCTTATCTTACCGTTTCCGGCGGGTGAGTGAGCCAGTCGTCGTCCTCGGTGGTCGTCATCGGCGTGTACGACTCGGTCGTCACGACCGTTGTCGCTTCCGAATCGTCGTCGTCTCCTCGCTTGAGCTGTAATCGCATCCGGTATTGGTGTAAAAAGATATTACGTAATGTGTGCATTTAGTATGGACTTTATCAGAAAACTTTTGTAAAAGCAACGAATCATTTGATTTGACTTCCAAAGCTAAACGAGAAGAAATTGGTAAAATACTTGGTTTTCCTTTTTTCCTTGTGAATTTTGTTTGACCAACAGCATCAGAGTGACATTGTATTATCTAGCAGCATTAGGTTTCGTTGTTTTGAAGCTCAGTTTTCTTATAAGTAGACGTAGAGTCTGTCGTAGGTATTTATTTTGTTGAAAGTTTCGCTTTCACGTTTTACTTAGGAAGAATAAATTCCTCTATACAAAGAAGCCTAAGTACCCATAATGTGAACTAAATATACAAATATTTGAAGTAAGCCGAACCAAATACCTAAATAATTCCCTCTTATAACATTAGTACCTATTTCATGGAATCCTTAACGCGAACGAATTGATGTCAATGCTGATAAATATCCCATTTCTGTTACCATACGTACGAGTAATACGATTGGACTAGTGAATACGTTTATAAAAGTCCCGAGATTTAAAGATTTATAGCCGTAATAAATAAAATACTTACTCGTATCTGCTGGGATCTTTGTATTTGTGTAGTCAAATTCAATCTATATTCTAAGTAACAAGACGATGGACGTCTGAAGATAATCTCTACTTATTTTAGTTGGCATTCAATTAGCTTATTCGAGTCATTCATTCAAGGTCATCGGTATTCAATATTAATTTCAATACTATTATAAGTACTGTATTATTACCGAATCCTTATTGACGCAAACTTTACTACTGCCATTTATTAACGTGACGTATCAAAATGGAATATTAAATTAATCAAAATGCCTTACAGGCACAGAAACTATGGCTTTGAACGTTTTCATTCAACAGTAATTATCTACGTCTACACTAGTGTGCGGTTAAATTCTATTAGTGGTAATTAGGTAGGATAATATTTGTGAATAGATTTCTAAAGATTGCCTCCGACCACGTAGTCACACACAATGTAAGCAGGGTACTTTTCTATACTAAGCAAGTTTAAAAGACCTTGCAAATAAGAATTTTATATAATTTTCCTTCAACTTACTCTTGGTGTAGTGTTGTCCAATATTTCAGCTGTTCCAAAAGTAATAGGAGGCACTGTAGGCAGAACCTCGTACTCATTTGAAAAGCTGCCAAATATGCTGTTCTCGTCTAAAAAACAAAAAGGAAGAATACAGAAGTGCCTTTAAACGGAAATTCTAAAAGTTTACTACGTTCAAAACTTACCAGAATCAGTCATAGCTGGGTAAGAACCAGTAACACCGACGTACTGAACGTAGTTAGGTACTGACAAATCGGGCCGTTCTGTGGTCAAATCTCTACTAGCACTATCCCAGTGGTTTTCCGACCGATTTCTGTCTGGAAAGAACCTTCTTCTTCCAATGTGATCATATCTACTGTTGTCGCTCTCTCCAGTGCTTAGGGTATTCAGATTTGGAGCTTGTGTTTGAGGTTCAAGGTGTATTTTCGGTTCCAGCTCTTTGTCTACGATATTGTAGAACGTATTTTCCTGTCTAAATCCACTTATGTAACCTGATCCGCAGTCAGGAGCAATGGTGGTGCACATTTCGTATGCGGTGTCGGGTTTGGTTGAGATCTGCAGTATTTCGATATCCCCCTGTAGACAAACCATGTATCATTTTAAATGTTTTTCTATGTGCCATGAAAATAAATGCTGTGTTTTATATAGTGGATACTTCAGAACTTACTTCATCTAAAGATGTTTCGGTTTATAGTTAATCGCTTCCATCTTGATTCCATCAAGAAGAAATAAAATGTGGAACTTCTAACAAGCATAACTTGACCTTACTCAATCTTTGATCCGGGGATAACGCTTAGACGACTATTATAGCGCAAAAGTGTTCGTCCCTCCTTTGACATGTTGTGAAACGAAATTAGAAGCTTCTACCAGTTGTGCAGACTTCAAAGCGATTCTTCGAAGGATTCCGAGTTCTACTTTGTAAACTGCTGGCTAATGGGCGTCAGCGAAAATATTTTTATAAGAAAGACGTATCCCGTAACTGTCGTCGAGTTACAGAAGAGTATTTAGTAGAAAAGACAGAAGTAGGACTATAAAAAATACCAAAGGAACACCCGCTGATATTTCATTCGGCTAAAATAATGATCTGAATCTTCAACTACTAGTCTTACATATATTTACGTACTCCCTAATTATTTACTAATAACATAATAGATAAATTCCAAGGTTGGGTTGCACCATCTTACGTTAACTTTAACAAACGTCAAAAATTTGTCAAACTCAATACAAAAAGCACCGGTTATCGTCAAAGTTACGGATAAAGTTAGGTGGTGCCAAACTGCATAGTTCTTGTTACACATTTCTCTAAAAATAACCGCGTCTACCTAGAGACTAGAACTAAAATAAAATTATCATAAATATAAAATCTTGAATTTGTAAATTAGATTAACGCCGAGAATATCTGTTTTACTTTGTTAATTAAATTCTCATTAATTAGTAGGCACTTGTGAGCAATTTACTGTAATGTAATGGAGAACGAAATTTTTTTGGCTTTGACGTTAAATGAAAATTCTTTACATTACGAAATCAAGGTGAAACTTGGGATTATACTCCTAAATAGAAATAATAATAAATCGTAATATTAAAAAAATATTTTGCCAATTGAAGTGGAAAAAGTACTTGACCTATTGAAAAAAATTAGTGAATCGATGCTCAATGTTAAAATAATAACTGTGATATACAGTGTGAGTCACGTTAAAGTGTACATATGAAAATAGATGAAACTAGACCTATTTTTATCGACAAAAAAGAGGTCAAAAAATTTTTGAGATTTTTTTTTAATTTTTTATAGATTTTTTTTTCTTCCAATTACTTGTTGTAAAGAAAACGTAATAACTTTTAAACTAAGCGGTATATCCTGATAAAATAAAAACAGTAATAATGCTAAATAACAGGCAATACTAAAAAAATACATAAAATACACAAAAAAGGCCAACAAATAATAAAAAATGATACTTTTTGAAAAAAATCTGCTCAAAAATTTGTGTTTTTTTGGTTAATTGATAAATTTCTCCAAAAAATGGCCCTATAACCGGTGGTTTTTATTACTTTGTATTATTCTCTATCGTATTATCTTTGTAAAACCAAAAATCGCATGTCTCTATCCCTATCACAACGTTTGCAATGATCGTTTGAACTAAGCCTCTCCGGGCGCGCCATTCAACGCTTCGTTAACAACAAAACTGAAAATGGCTCTAGATTTGTAATTTTGATAAAGACAAGTCAGATTTCAAATAAAAACAAAAGATTTCGAAGTAAAATAAGCATTTTAGTTAAAATTAAAATTGTCTCTACCTGTAGCGGAGAATAATGTTGTGGCAGGCCTTTGTTCAAACGATCATAGCAAATGTTGAGATAGGGATAGAGACATGCAATTTTTGGTTTTACAAAGATAATACGATAGAAAACAATAAAAAGTAATAAAAACCACCGGTTATAGGGGCATTTTTTGGAGAAATTTATAAAATAACTAAAAAAACACGAATTTTTAAGCAGTTTTTTTTTTCAAAAAGTATCATTTTTTATTATTTGGTGGCCTTTTTTGTGTAATTTATGTATTTTTTTAGTATTGCCTGTTATTTTGCATTATTACTGTTTTTATTTTATCAGGATCTACCGCTTAGTTTAAAAGTTATTAAGTTTTCTTTACAATAAGTAATTGGAAGAAAAAAAATTCTATAATTTTTTTTTTTTAAATCTCAAAAACTTTTTGACCTCTTTTTTGTCGATAAAAACTGGTCTAGTTTCATCTATTTTCATATGTACACTTTAACGTGACTCACACTGTATTTTGTAAGCTTCCGTATTGATGCCGAAATGCCAATTGACTGAACGAACACTATTAATGTGCCTCTCCTATCTTCTTACTGTCAGTAAACAACTGTATCTATCTCATTTATAAACTACTATAAGAACGCGTGTATAGAAAATTTTAAGAATGTGTACCTATTATTAAAACCTCTTCGAAAGCGACAATATCCCAATAGTGTCAGTTTCGGGTCAGGACTCTACCATAAGTAGTAGGTACGCGACGTCGTGGGACTTACAGTAAGACGAAGAGCGATGTAATGGGAATGCAAGCTACGTCATGTCTATTGAGCAGGGATGTTATGGATATCCGTAAGCGTAACTGAAACTTTCGGATATCCGAAATAAAAATATCCGTAATCGTAACCATAACCGATTCAAAGGTTTCGGATAGTTTCGGATGTAGGCAGAGTCAAGCAAGTCCCGACGCTGATTTAATGATTGCATTTTCAAGTTCATGAGTATTTTCCCATAAGATAAAAGCTTTTTTATAAGACCAAAAGAAGGTGACAGATGCTAAAGAAATCTCTTCTGTGCCCATTCTATTCGTAAGGCATGAACTGTGTTGGACAACTATTGGAATTTGCATTCTTAGCTCAGATATCTGTAACCGTAACGGAAACCGGTATAATATTATACCAAAATCCGTAACCATAACCGAAGCTACATATCCATAACATCCCTACAGTATTGAGGAGCGACATTATGGGAAGCGACGTTCAGGGAATAATTCGTAGGTACCTCGAACCTCGCCGTGCCACTGGATTATTGTGGTGAACTCGTAACACAATCATATTTCGCTTACCACGAGGGGTTAACGGGCCTTACACATCTAAATGCAGGTACCTACCTTAGTAAACTTAAAGCTTAGTTACAACAGGATATTGCAAAATTCCCAAAAAACATTTGTATGAAAAAAATCTAAACCGCGTAAGATAGATGAAGGGGGTAAAACGGGTTCCACGCGTACGAAGTCGCGGGCGGCCGCTAGTTACTTATATTCTTTTTAGGAATACTGCGGGCATAAGTTCTAAAGAAACTCTTTTTATTTACCTCATAGAACTGGTCCGCGGTGAATTGCTTGCCCACGACGAGGGTCCCAGCCAAGTTGAAGCTGCTGCCAGGCTTGCGGTCGAGCCGCAGGGTCTCCGTGATGTTGCAGTCTACCAACAGGGTCGCCGAGTCGCCTTTGACGCTGAGCGCTAGACGGTGCCATCTGTAGGAGGTATGTTTCATCTCAATCTTACTATTAGGACGTCCTGTTTTTTGCAGGATCCCGTTTATTAGTATCGTGTTCTAATCCCGTTTGCTGTATCCCGCTCCGTTCCAAAAAACCGATCCGTTCGAGTTTATAATTCGAATTTCAAACACACTTGTGTGTTCAAGCGAGAGACAGTCCAGTTTTTTATGATAATAAGGCTTCACTTACTGATTTTTTATTTAACTTACTCTTGACATTTTCTTTCTACTACTAATCAAATTACATTTAACATTTTTGTATAGGTACAATAAACAAAAGAGAATCGTGAGAATATCAAAACAATTTTTAAAATGGCCAGTTACAATAGTTTATGCAGGTTTTATTCATTTTGAAAAAGAACACTGTAAGAAAAACAAAACTTTTTTAAAAGTGGCCAGTTGCAATAATTTATGGAGGTTTTATTCTTAAACGAGTAGAATCAGTGGAACTATCTTGATGAAGATCGTTTTGCAAAGCGTTCTCCTAAAACCACGTGACGTTGTTAGATGGGACAGGCCCAGGTGCTTCGAATTTTTCGATTAAACCCGTATTGTTCTCGAAGGGTCTGCGCGCCCGTCAAAATCAGGTATAGGGCTTATAGCGTATTCACACTGAATGTACGAGCGGGCACGAGACAGCAACATTTAAAACTTTTTAATTGGAAGAATACGTGATAAAAAGCGAATTACGAGCGAGCCAGTGCGTGTAGCATTGATGTGGTTTAGAAGTTTAGACTGAATTAAAGTACAAAATAAACTCCAAAAATACGGTTTATGGTTTAAGATGGTTAAAATACTCATATTTAAAAAGGAAAAAGGTTATTTATCTTATACACATAGTACATATTTATATGTAGGTAGGTATATTGCAAGTTGCAACCAACATTATACAAACAGTGGAAAATGCAGCCACGCTTTCGAAGTGAATCGAGCCTTAGTAGTGCAGTCGAAGTGTGGATATCTCAATTATTGGCGAGAGTGAGAGCTCCAAATTCAATATTTTTAGAAGCAGGATTTTTAGTTTCGTGACTGATAGTCAAACATTACAAACAATCAATTGATCCTTGTTTATTTCAGTTCATAGGGATATTATAATGCAAAGAAACCAAAAAAGCACCTTTTTTCAGCAGTGGGCCTTCTGACCTAATGCCTTCAAGGCGGTTAACGGAAGCGTAAAGAGGCAAAGATTCGTCGTGCGTGGTAAGAAAGTTATTCACCCGATCCCGAGGTCGTGGATTCAACTCTAGGAGTTGGGACACGCAAACAGAAAAGTCACCTTTAATTGTTTCCTTTGCTGAAGACTCTGCAGGCCTGAATCAACCTGATTTCTCGAAAAAAAGACCAAGTGTTTCAAAGAGCAAATTATGGGCCGATAGTCCCATTGAGAAACGTAGCTAATAAAAATTCTGACATCAGGATTACGAGCATATCCACGCACTAGTATTTATTCTGAGTTCACACTAAGAAGTTTTCCTCTAATTAGTACTTAGATTGAAATGGTAAAGACAATAGGGTGATGATGTGAAGCTAAAGTGGGTTTTTATGATCTTAAATGGTAGTAAATATGGTGTGGTTTACCTCCCATCAGCAACAATGGCGCGGTATGTCAACAGCTCATTATCCTGAGGGTCTCCGTTGGTATCCTCATAGTAGAGCTCGACCATCTCGCCCACTACCAGTTGGAGCTGCTCGTCCCCCGCGTCCGAGTATAGCACGAAGAGAGGACGTTGGGATTTGGCTGCGACATATAAAAATAGGAGATTAAACTTTCAGTTAGAGTACAGTTAAGGGTCATATTTGAATGTCAACGCATCCGAATAGGTACTATAGCATGAAGAGAGGTTTGGGATCCAGTCATCGGAATCGAATGTTGGGAACTTGAGATCTTTCACTCCTAATTGTTAGCGATCCAACTACACTAGTCCCGTACGTAACTGTATTTTCAACAGTTGTAGTTAGTTTTTAAGTTTTAATAGATAATAAGTGAATTAAATAAAAAAAATATCAATAATATTACAATACGAACGAACATCTATTAAAACTAGCTCATAAATTACTCCTTTGTTGTAATTATACTTCTAGTTTGTCTAAATTACAGTAGATGCAAAACGAAATTAGAGTGAAGGCATTCAAACCACACGACCTATTTAACTGCGCACGTCTTAATTAATTTCAATTGCTAAAGTTTAAAGCAGTTCAGTCTAGTTCGAATGTAACAATAAAATCTACGTTGAATGCCTTAGATGTGTAATTAAACTTTGCTTATTCGTAAAAGAACATTAATTTAGTTAAATGTAATGTTTGCGAAGTTGATGAAAAGTTTTTCATTTCATTCGTAAAACGAGCCAAAATATTTGTTTACTGTTTATGTTAGGGTACGAGGACCCACGTCTGTCTATTTCCAGTATCAAAAATATTAAAAAGAAACAATATCATAACGTAATATGCTTTTTTCAGCCCAGGAGTCGTATTTTTAGAAACATGGAATTGAAATGAGCGTATTAATAAAACTAATTGCTTTTGGAATTGGTATACGTCTCTGTGAGAGTCGTCTAGAGTAAAAAAATAAGCTAAGATATTTTAACTCCTCTTTTGTGCAATCGACAGTTTGTTTCAAAACCAAATAAAAAATGTCTTTATTTACTCACACAGACATTGAAAAATATTTGCATCATGTTTACATCGTTTAATTATTTAATACAATATCAGTGTGAGTCTATGCAAGGTATCGAATACCTGTTTGTAATGTGTTCTTGCAAAATATTACCAAACATAATTAGTTATAATCATAAGGTGCAACTTCAATATTTCACTTTTAACTATTGCTCGTACTTACTTAATGTAGAGTCAATTATTACGAGAACTTAATCTAAAAACATAAGCGAAACGTGCACTCTTATTGAATCTAAGTAATATTGACAATGTATTAGCACTAAATACTTCCAATAAAAAGCTCAAGTGCCCTGCATAGTGCGCTCAAGAAACGGCTGTTAACAAAATTAATGCCAAGTCCTTTCTTTGACTTGGACTAATGGATGGCACGTTCCAGTTATTAATGAGCCCTAATTAGGGAAGATCGACTCATCTGCTCCTTATTAGCGTTGAGAAAGTAATTACGCTATTAAAATACGATATCACCAATTTAAATAATATTGACGTACGTGAAGCTAAGCTCCCGTTTTATTTATTTTTGATTATGTAAATCAACACGGAGCGCCACAAAATACTGACAAGATTCACATTCAATTACAAATTGAGTTTGGGCTGGAATTGATGTACATACTCGTATACACCTAGATTGGTACATTAGGATGTATGTATATAGGTATTGTTCCATCTTTTCATCCTAATGTGTTACAAGTTTTGTTTTATCTGAATTACTTAGAATGACTGGATGAAGACCATGATAATCATGTAGAGTCTATTTTTTATGTGATAGGAGGCAAACGAGCAGACGGATCACCTGATGGTAAGTGATTACCATCGCCCATAGACACTATACAAGTATACTCGTATTTTAAATGCACCATTTTTGATTGTGTTCTTTTCATCTGATTAAAAAAAAAACAAGACAAAAATACTTAATGGGGTAGGTATTTTTTATAACAGCGAAAATTGGCATTCGAACTTATACGAATATGCCTACGTCTGGTTCCTTCAGTCAGATTTAAGAAAGCAGTTCCAAATCCTCACCTGACAATCGCACCACTGCTAACACAGAGAAGTCTTCAGGAAAGGTGTTGTAGAACATGCCAGCGGCATCCTGGTGCAGCGTGGCGTTCTCGTCGAGCCGGTATGCCGAGAGCTGGTCTTCGGGCAGGGTCGGCGACTGGCACCGACCTGGTATGCGGGCCACGCCATCGGGCAGTTGCTCTTCTTTTAGGGTTGATAGGATGTCGAAGATGTCTGCCTCATCTGGGCCCCAGAAAAAAAATAATTTTGAGGCATTATTTCAGTTTCATTTCCAAGAAAGTGTGATTTTTAAATCCTCAAACCACGCTATAGAATCAAGTTAGAAACACTTTGCTTTTAAAAAATTGCGACTCTACCTGTAAATAGAACGTATTAATACTTTGATCACGCTTCATACGCCAATAAGTACTTTACGAGGGTAGGCACATCTACAATATCCTCCGTGGATTACATTCCCCGCGTTCAACGTGTGTTCGCGATATTTAATTCATATGGCATTCGATAGCCCCAAATTGATGTTCAACAACGTCTAAAACGTGCAGGTGTTTTCCTAAATATGCGTGGTCATGCACGGAAAACAAAAATAAAGATGTTCAAATTAAGAGATATTTACTCACCGTCCGCGTTTCCCGCGTTGAGGAGGCAGAACAATAAAAGGAGTAAACGTCCCCTCGTCTCAAGAGCCATAGCGGCCCGGGTAAATACGTCGGAGGGGTGTGTACATTAGATCCATCCCGGAGGGCGCGTTTTCGGGACTACAGGCTATAGCCTACAGACTGGTCTGTGCGGTATTGTCCCTCCCATGGCGGGAATGTGAGCTCCTCGGCCGAGGCCGCCGCGATACTGAACGCCGAAGACGGGCCTCTAACTCATCACTTCGCATCTAAATGTTTAACGCATTGGTGTCAAAATAATGAAGATCAATGAACGGCCAGTACATAATTGAGGACATTGGTGAATAATAGATGAATGTACTTAATTGCGAAATGTTTTCAGTTTTAGTGTGATTTATCGGTTCAGGGGCAGTTATTAAATTGTAATACCATAAACCATAAGGTACAATTCAACAAACAATGAAAAAACACACTTCTAATAAACTGACCTGACTCTACATTTAAAGAGGTTTTATTTTCTTACCAAAAGATACGCATAACTCGAAAAAGCAAATGGTTCGTATAAAGATTTTGCAACGATACTGTTATTGCTTAGATTTGCCAGAGATTTGTTCGTGACAAGGGCTTTAACTAGCTGCTGAGTGTACGAAAACTCCCGCGTCACGTGACATTTCACTCATCTCCCGCGGAAAGTGGAACGTGAGGATAATATGTCAATGTTTGTTTCAGGTGTCTCAGCAAAGGTTGGCGACGCCTGGCGCTGACGTCGGGCATGTTAAATTTATTAATGATCGCTGATTTAAATTAACAGTTTAACAGTCCATAATATACTTTCTAGGTTACTTATAATATATGTCACGGATACACTAGGGGACAAATGTCCTGTGCAACTCAGATCCTACGTATTAAAGAAATTCTCAACTCAAACCACCCTATGAACTATCCCTCAGTGTTTCACGCAACATTATACATGACCCGGGACATGTTTGACGGACTGCGGCAACATTGTCCCCAGGAAAATCACTCGATGTGAAACTCCTGCTTTCGATTCTCAGATCATAATGTCGAACACGTTTCCTTAACGTTAATTGACATCATCCCATTATAATTAACCTTTAAGGAAATTATCTCATTAGAATACACTTAAAATAATTAATTTCATAAAAAATATCATAACTTGGCCTATTACGTTAAAATCAAACTCCAGTTTTGGAATAAGTACGATGACTTACTCGTAGTATAAATATGATATGAATACTGTGTCGGGGGCATCGAATTCGTATGCCTACCTTATTACTTGCTGTGACATCTGTCTGATACACTCTTTAATTTGGTGTCAGTCCCTATATTTGCTTTATTAATATCTAAAATGTAGGGTAGGTGTAGTAAATATTTGAACTTCGTATCACACAACTATGTCATAGGATCTGCCCTATGATTGGTCTAAAAGGTTATAATTAAAATTCAACCAATCATAATTTGCCCCATCTACGCTTGAAATTGAATTGATCTTTGAGCTTTGTTTTTTAGTACACACCTTTATTTTTCTCAGACGTCATGATACAAAAATAAACAGCATGAACATTTAAGCATGTGTTTTCTATGCTCATTGATCAGTATTTCATAATAATATGTAGATGTGAATCATTCCTCAGTTTTGGTTTGTTTCTAAACCCACATTCTGTGCGAATTTGAGGCCACTAATTATTATAAAATATAACATTGCCGTTTTGGCTACCCACGTGTAGTTACTAGTTGTCAGTTGTTCAGTATTGCGCAGTTGTGAAGCGAAGCCCTTGCAAGGGTTTGCCCGCCCATCCGTGTAAGGGTCGACCTTCGTGATCACTGGCGACTACGTTGCATATGTCTACTAGTCCTTAGTTTATATTTACTACTAGCTATAATTAATCAATAGAGCTTCGAAATCAGAAAGGATTTTGCAATTTGTGGTTAGCAATAAAAGTAATTTATAAAATTATGTACCTACTTCGAATTCTGTGCCTAAAATATTTCATTTTGCTATGAAGTATCTACCTATCTATATTATGCTACTAATGATTTTATTCGTGATATTTCATCGTAAATGTATGAAGTACATTTCATCGTAAAAGTTAGTCATATTGTAGAGATCTACCAACCAACCCTTTTCGCACATTTTCATCAAGGGCTTATTGGAATCGGTGATGTGTTGAGTCTTTAAGTGACCAGTGGACTGATGATTATTTATTTGAAGGTACCGCGAAAATGTTATAAGGAAAAAATACAAGTGACGAGTGATAAATATAAAAGTTAATTTTCATCGTTCATAAGAACTTTTGGAATAGATATTTTGAAACTTTTGTTTGTACTTTACCTCATGCTTGACTGGTAAAGATTCTGTAAGAAATTAGGCCGCAAATGAGTCTTTCTTTGTGCAACAAAGTTTAAATAAAATATTAGTCCAATAGGTTAATATGTTTACTCTACAATTCTTACTCGTAAATACAATTAAAGGTCACGGGCTAAGTGCGTGTCATCCAAAAAAAAATACAAAAGTGATTGTTGCCATTTTTAAATGTCAGAGACAGATCTAACGGTTCAAGAACATTATTGATACACACGAGCGTTTAGAGCTTGCAATTCGGAGCAGTAATAAATACAGTCGGGCGCATTACGGGGACTCTACATTTGCGTACCGCGAACTAGAACGCAATTCATGGTGATTTACGAGCGATCTGTATGTACAGTCGACTGCATGAATGTCATCATCATCATCATCAACAGCCCTTTACAGTCCACTGCTGGACTATGAGCCTCCTCCACTATAGTGGAGGGTTTTGCCATAATCCCCACGCTTGGCAGGCGGGTTGGAGATCGCAGTTTAAAAGATTGATGTTTTTCAGAGAGCGCTGCTGCCCGTTCTCTGTTTGATGTGTGGACCCTAAGTCGCCTCTTACGACACCCGCGGGAAGAGTAGGGGTTGGTGACAAATGTATTCTACTCTGCCGTCACCACACGCCACGAATGTCACTGTTGTTTAAATCCAAGGTGAAGCGCACTATGAAATAGATTTGTGAAGTTTTCATTTGGTAAGAAGTGTAAAATGAAAGCAATTTGAGAAAATTTGCAACATCTTTAGAGGGTGTTAATACATGTCTGTCTATGCTATGTTCTAAAGTTATGCAAATACATAAATAAATATTTGATAATTAAGCGAATTAGTAAGAAGTTGAACAATAAATAAAGCAAGTGACTAAGTTTATTGAATCTATCTATTCAATACCCAATACAGTAATACAGATACAGATGTTGGATCATAACGCTAAAATCAAAAGAAATAAAAAAAGCCGTCAATCTCAAAGCGAAGCTAAGAATCCGAGGAGATTATAAAACTTATCCCAGAGGCACGTAGCACACGTGCGAAACTTCAAAAGTCTTAAGCTCGCTGTTAAACAAAGGCTTAAAAGAAGGCAGCACACATTTTGTTGACTGTACCTCCTCTTTATGTGACAAGCAAATACCCTGCAAAAGTACGATCTGTTAGTAAATAGCCCCGACAGAGCTATTTGCGGGGTACGTGTCATTTGTTTGCTTTGATTGTTTTTTATAGAATGGTTGGAAGGGTACAATATATGAAATAAGTTTACACAAACACTTGTGTATATTTTCCTGGGAAGGAAAAAATTTAGAATCTGACCTACTTTCTACCTATTTCTATGCTCCTCAGGCCTTAATATAGAAATTATAGGGCTGAATCTAACATTTGCAAAATTTATCGACGCTCAAATGCATATGTCATGCGCTCTAAATATGAAGAGTCGTAATTTAGTGATTTATAGCACTGGTATTACACTACTTCACGATCTTCCAGGAACGGTTTGTGAAGGCCTTTGTTGATTTGGCCTTAATGATCATATTGCCATGGACTTCAATACCTACTTTTAATACTCTTCGTATCTACATGAACCTACATTGACATTTTTAACATTTGTTGCGAAAGGTGTTGTAAAAACTGTATAAAAAATAAACTTATTATAGATGAGGTATGTACCTACATAAATAAGTAACTTTCAAAGTAAAAAGGGATTAGAGAAGAAATTATGTTGGAAATTCTTGAAAGTCATAAGTATTTGAAAATAACTACCTAAATATAAATCCCTCTTCTTTCTCTAGCAAGTTAGTTCGTGGAAACTTTGCAATCAAAGTTTTTGGAGTACAACGAAACTTTTTGCAACAAAAAATAATTCCGGATAGTTTACGAACTTGAGTAGCTGGAAGCGATTCGGAGACTCAGAGTGAACCCTCAAGTTATATTTAGTATAGCAAGGGAAACATTGCAATATTTAAAGGTTTTCAAACCCTCTAAAGGCAGTCTTGGATGTTAAAAGATTACTTGAAAAGCTATCTATGTATTATTTAACGAATAGAAAAGTAAGTGAAGCTGAGTGAAACTGCCAGATTGAGATTGAGTATCGCATTTTCCTTCAGTCTCATAACACACTTTATCACAAAAGCCAGGATATTGTGTAGTTCTGGCTTCATCTATTTTTTGAAGATGCGTTCCATAAAAAATATGAATAGCCGACTTACCCAGAGATTCCGTTGAATCTTATGTTGATTCCCCTTTTGCATAGCTGAAGCATAAGGTTGAGGAAAGACCCGTTTTTGTGACGAAAATGAGACGAAGGAAAACGGTGCGATTTTGTCTGCTCAATTTTTTAAGTTCCTTTCGAGGAAATACTTAGCAGACATATTATTTTGAACTTTATGTGTGTAGAAATAAAGGCGCCATACGTGATGAGTATTGAACCAGTAATACTCGTATAAGTATGTGATGCATTGTGAGCAAAATGACGATTTGTAAGAACTATTTATTAGTCTAAACAAATAAAGAAAATTTTGACTTTGACTTTGATGAAGGCAAAATATGTTTTATACTTATTTCAAGAAGTTTATGGTTCAAGCCAAGAAACGGTTCGGTTTCCTTTATATTATTTTAACATATAAAACTTGGCTACGAATAATGGCAGCCATAAAATCTGTATTGCCGTAAATTCAGTTTATTTTTAGAAGTATGCCGTTGACACTACTTTAATTTCCTCCGAAAATTGTTCACACATAGTGTTAGTTATGATTTATATGTGCTATGCATGTTTATGATTATGATAAATAATTATTAGAATGTTGAAAATCATAATTATCTGGTCCATTTATGTATTAATAATATTCTAAGTTACAGATAACTTAAGTAGGTAAATGTTAAGTCCTGCTCGTAGCATTCGTAGTTCGTAGCACCTGCATACTACGAATTTTAAAAGAAGTTTTTTTTATTAAATCAGTTCTTCTGTCTTATGGGCTGTACCTGGTACCTATCAATTGTCGTCTCAATCCTGATGTCAGAATTTCAGCAGTCATTTATGGCATTAGACCAGTCGTTGTGGAAATGCTTAGGTTTTTCTTTCTTCAGCAGTGGACGTCATTTAGCTGAAACGAACAAACGAATGAAATGGCATCGGACCGATCGTATTGTTCAAACTTGAAATTATGTTTTTTGTGCAAGAGCCAATGCATTGCGCCTTACTTCAGCTCTAAAATAAAGTGCGTAGTCGCTGCCCGTATTAATGATAGATCGCCCGGAGTCCTGCCAGCAGGACTTAAAGTACTTCCGGTAGGACGCAAAATTAAAAGATCACAGTTTCGTAAGTATACATTGTACAAATTTCAAATTTACACGAAAAAATAGAGTGTTTCTCTCTCTTTCACCCAATAGTGCCCAAGATCGAAAAACGCGACTAACCGTTAGTCGGAGCCCGATGGCGCACGAGTATACACGGGGGCAGCGCGTTCGCGCTCGCGCGACACATTTTGACGCGCCGGGCGTGGAGTCGGCAACATTTTGGCGATAATATTATAATGAATGTGAAGTATTCCAGCCTAATCAAACATTTATAATTTATTTCTTGTTTTTGTTTTTAATTTGTAGTGTATTTGTAAGTGATAGGTGTAATTTCTAATACAAAGTGACGTACCATAGTAATTAATTTAAAGTTCCTTATTATAGTTCCTATTAGTTAAGTTGAAAGAAGATAAACAGGTTTATATATATTAAGAAAAGTAAAATACTGGTTAAACAAAATGATTCTACGACATAACTTTTTATTTAATAAACACTAACCAAGTGTTTACTACTTCTGGTGAGGATGAGTTCAAATTTGAAGGTCACCGTACTGCTGGAAGGACCAGCAAGCAAACACGTACAAATTGCGTACTGCGGGCAGGACTTGCGATAATCTTCTGGCAGGACGTTTAGAACAAAAGACCAGTCCTTCCAGAAGAGCTTCCAGCAGGACAAAGCACCGGGCGATCTATCATTAAATTTGTGCAATCAATAATTCTGGTTCCCGCATATCAGAGATTGGGTTGGATTGTGATTTATTCCTGACCTGGTAATTGATTAAGGATTCATGTTGCCGGCGCTGGCAAGTTTGGCAAATTGCTGAAGTTCCAGCATTAGCGCAGGTAATCTCGCGAACGTGGCTGAACGGTTTTAATTCAATAACTTCAAAGGGTAGAGACAGTATGAGCGTGATAATGCAATTTAACGACGCAATTTACACACACAGTTGATGCTAAAATATTTTTAATTATGCTACCTAGTGAAAAGTTAAGAAAGTACCGGTGGTTAGTCGAAAATGAAAAATCGTTCAATAGATCACGTACAGCAGACGTGTCTGTTTTCTACCCTTGGCAAGGGTTGGGAGACTTCACGTCTGGTGTACGTGATTTTATGACAATTTCCTTAAAGGCAATTCACATCGCCATACAAAATGTCAGTGCTGATCCTTTCATATTAATGTGGGAGAACGTATTGATGTGATTTCTAATTCAAATTCAAAATTTTTGGTATGTAGGCCCTTTTCAGGGCACTTATACATCCCAGATATGCTTGCTCAAGCTTTTCACATTTTACATAAGTATTTATGGCGGACAACAATGAACATATTCGTAGTATGTGTGTAAATTCCGGGCAACGGCTATTAAAATTTTAAGTTACATGATTAATTTTAATTACCTACTTACATATAAAAAAATAATAACTGCACCAGATCTAGGTTAAGACCACTTAAAAGTTTAAGGGGAAAGCATACAAAATAAAAACTCGTGTTGGCAAAACTCCATCGCCTACCCATGCGGGCAAAGCTAAACCTTGATGGAATTTGTGTTTTATTTATTTTCATGTATCACTGTGTGGGTGGGGAAATGCATATTAATAGTAGGTCGTGTATATCCGACATTACTCAAACGCAAAGTAGAAACTGTGTAGTATACGTGTGTAGCAATGCACTGGCAAAACACGGGTGCTCAATTGCTGTTGAAATAAGTTCGCAGTTGCCTCAGTAATTTGTTCAAATCCGAATGTAGGGCAACCTCGCTGGCTTAACTTAGATACGAATCAGTATGGGTTAGGGCTAAATCAGCTATTCTCAAACTTATAGATCATATAAAATAGAGAAACACGGGTCTCAACGCGATATTTAATTGAAATGGAACGCGAAAGTTTGAAATCTTATACGTAGATCACCGTAGCCCTATAACATTTTGAAGACAACAGCGAACCCTTGTAAAAAACTTGATGAGGTACGTATGTGTACATAATTATGAAAGAAATGTAGTCTCAAAAAGGAGATTATAGAAATGTGTAAAATTTATTTTTTTGTCCTGAAGCCGTAGGACTCCAATGGCGCAAGTCCATGAGGCCCTAGCAATATGGGTAATTAGTCGGGTCATATGATAAGTTAATACTTAGACTCGGCGCCGGTACGGTCCTTAATTACCGTCGAATAAATATACCGAGAGTTTTTCTGAAAATCCGAAAATTTATTTCCAAGTTTCACCACTTTGGAATTAGGTAGGTATACTTACATATTTTTTATAGGAAATATTTAGGAACATATTTATTGAAATACATCGTATGTACTGTAGTTAAGAGAGCATATGCGCCATTTTGAGAACCAATGTATGGGCTAAACTAAACAACATAAATAATGTTACCGGTAACTCCGTTGTTCGATGCGACTACGAATGAGGATTAAAGTTTGTAACTCCAAATTGCTATCAATAAGTTCTTGCTTGTCTCGGCTTAAACTTCACCATGTGGTAGTTCTATTTGATAAACTAACTAAATGACAATCTTAGTGGCGTTTTGTGAGGGCTTAGTTTGTGAATTAATTCATTAATTCAGGTGTAGTAATAATAATAAGGAGATGGTATATTTTTCTTTTAAACAAACAAAGTTACTTGATAAGTATGTAAGTAAGTAGGTCTACTTACATAATTCTTCTGTATTAAACTTACTGAGGTCTAGGGTTCCTACAGCACATACAAATGAAATAAAAAGGATAAAGGGATTTTGTAAATAGAACTCAAATCGTGTATTAATTTTACTATTATTAGACTTAAAAACAAAGTTTTGGTACAAGATTTATCTATTGCTTCGAATTCGGATGAGTTTCTTTGAAAACTGGTTCAGCTAGCAATTTGGCGAAGAGCGCAGACAATGTTTGATACTTGTCGATTGTCATTCCCAATCTACACTAATATTATAAAGAGGAAAACTTTGTTTGTTTGTTTGTTTGTTTGTTTGTTTGTTTGTTTGTTTAGTTGTAATGGATAGGCTCAAAAACTACTGGACCGATTTTAAAAATTCTTTCACCATTCGAAAGCTACATAACTCACGAGTAACATAGGCTAAATTTTATTTTAAAAAAAAATAGGGTCCCGTAAAATATTTGGGATTTTCATAAGACGTGGAAAAGCGCCATCTATCGTCATTGGTTAAAATCTTCTTGCGCCTGACAAAAATTTTTGAGGTACGTAAATATTCATGAAGGCAAAGCTGTCAAACGCCATCTATCGACATCATTAGTAAATTAGTAACTAAATATTACATGTACTATGAATAGCGCTGTTCGTAAATAATATTGAAAATTTAATAAATAAAGATATTTTATGTAACTGAACCATTCACTGTATGTACCTATTTGAATCATTCACTGTGTTTAAACGAGCAAATCAAAGTGTTAATTAGTGACTTTTTACAAACTTCCTTGCAAATTCTTACTATGTGCCGCCATCTACCGAGATGAATATTAGGGTACGGTTCAGCGGCGGACAAATGGGATGGGCGCGTGGGCGATTGTAGTTAAATAGGATAAGAATTACTGCACAGCGTGCTATGGAGAGGGCTATGCTTGGTGTTTCTTTGCGAGATCGAATCAGAAATGAGGAGATCCGTAAACGAACCAAAGTCGCTGACATAGCCCGACGGATTAGCAAGCTGAAGTGGCAATGGGCAGGGCACATAGTACGCAGAACTGATGGCCGATGGGGCAGAATGGTTCTGGAATGGAGGCTGCGTACCGGAAAACGTAGCGTGAGACTTCCACCTACAGGGTGGACCGACGACATCGTAAAGGTAGCAGGGAAGCGCTGGACGCAGGCCGCTTCCAATCGATCAACATGGAAAGCATTGGGGGAGGCCTATGTTCAGCAGTGGACGTCCTATGGCTGAAATGGTGGTGGTGGTGGTGGTACATATACTGAAAATGTATCATTAGAAATCAACTACGGGGGCTAAGGAGATAAAAGGAGGGTTGGAAGTTTATATTATGAAAGTCCTATGTGTTTAAAGTAAGAGAGTTGAAATTTTAAATGTATGCGCTATAGATGCTAAGAGCGGATTTTACGAAACTCCACCCCTAATGGAGTAAAACGAGGTCCACGCGTACGAAGTCGCGGGCGGCCGCTAGTCTGTAATAAAATAAAAGCACGATTTCTGATTCCATTCTACTCTGGGCAATTTGTAAACAGACCTTTTCTAAGGTTACTTGTGAAAATGTTGCAGTTTGTTTTAGGTTTTGCTCTTATATTTTATTTAGTAATGTTACCTACGATACAAGATTTGCAATACCCTTACAGGGTCATAAGTTGAGACTAAGTTTAAGATCACCACCTATGTACACTTATGAAGCAATAAATGATTATGATTAAATATCACAAGTATTCATCATTATTTTAGCCACAGGAACTGCTGAACAGAGGCTAATGATTTCCAGATTGTTAATTTTTAGGTAGCTATAAATAACAAGAAACGAGTTTAACATCAAAATGCAGTTACGTTCCTCTTCCATCGTCACACCATTTTTTTTCGCCAGGAAATGTATGAAATTCCATTCCACTGGCCCGGGGAACTAGTAAGTTATGTGAGGCTCTCCCTGCCAGGTGGGCAGGGCCTACTCACTAAAACCTGACGGTGTCCTTAGGCCAGTCACCTCTAGAGCCCAGGTAAAAACTAGCATTTATAATAAGTTACCTTGTTGTGATGTTAAATAACTGTGGCACAAGACACAAATCAGCCACCGTGAGCTGGTCTCCAACGCAGTAGCTCCCAGAGCTTTTCTTTAGTAGTTCTTCAAGAGTTTGCAGTCCGCGCTCACAGTGGTGTCGGGAGAACTTCAAGTACTGCTCTTCGGTATCAAATTGTGGCTTCAGTCCAAAGTTCTGAAGCGGCTGGATTCCTGACACGATAATCTGGCATAAAAACCGAAACACAGATTAGCCTAAAAACATGTCGATTTTTTAAATAATTTTTCGCCCTACCTTTCAGCTGTTGGTCATGAATTTAGAAGTTTATGTGGATCGGTTCTAAAATACCTTATTTACATATCGTGTTTTACGAATAAGGTCTTTGAAAATATTATACATCTTAAAAAGGGTATTTCATAGTTATTGCAATTACCCTACATCGTTGTATTTTATTCGTAAGCTAAAAAAAGCTATACATGTTTCAAAACCTTTATTATGTTTAAAAAATATTGCCAGTCAAAAGCAATATAAGCGAAGACAACATGCTTTATCGAATAGTATTTTCACTATCCAATACCTTTAATTATTTTTTTTAAAGACTTTATTGCACACACCTAAGAATGTTCCGTACAAAAAGGCGAGCTTAATGCCATATTAAGTCATTCTCTACCAGCTGACCTTAAGCAAAACAGAGATATTGAGTAGGCGGTGCTAAAAAGCTTCTAGATAGAAATTATCAGTTTTCTAGACGAGATGTGTCTAGCAGAGCACGGTTCATCATACCTCACATATCTCACGCATACGAGCTTTGGCGAGTGGTGATTCCGGCGTCAACTTAGGTCCTGGCCGCGTATCTTCTAAGTAATCAATAATCGCCATAGATTCCATCAAGGTTGCTCCATCTGAATGAAATAAAAAAAGGTTTTTTAGAGACAGCCGTATCCATGCCTTCGACTGAAAATGTATATGAAACTTTCAGCTTACTGGAAAGTAGGTCTAGATACTAGGGCTGGTAAAAGTAAATAAGCTGCAAACCATTAAGTAATGTGTATTCCTTTTTGCTCTATTTGCTTCTTTAGTTCTTTACCCTACTTTAGAGGTGAAAACTTCGGAAATAGCAAAGTGGTATACCTACTCTCAGAAACAATAAAGCTTATTTTTCAAACTATGTTTTTATAATAATCGTCAAAAGGTTCGAGGAAACTGCATTCAACAAAAGAGAATATGGACCTTGTTAACAACATAAGTAAGAGGGGGACGTGAAAACCCTCGATCCTATACAAACCCAACCAGACCTTACAACCACCAACATAATAATTCCTTTAATTCCTCTCCTATTTGATTTGGAGGTAAATTAACAAACAACAAAGTCCGTGTTGAAATTTAAAATTACTTAGCTTAACTGAGTGACTGATCTCATATTCGCTTTAAGGGCTCATTAAACTTCTATACTTTTGAAAAAAAAAACATTTAACCTGAAAAGTACTTACCTACTTAAAATATTCAAGTACCTACCTAGACCGAGTTAGTTTCTCTCTACAGGTAACTTTGTTTCAGTTACTTTTTAAGTTAGTTTAAATAATTAAAAAAACTCCAAAAAAGCAAAAAAAGTCCCAGATGCTCACACGATTTCGTGATAGAGTTGTTTTAATGCTTTGCAATTCGTGCGAACAGCTAATTAATAACATGTTCAATAGAATTCATTAATATCTTATTTAGGTACTTGTAACAATCTCCAAAGACCAAGCGTTATGCTGGTTTTACTTCATTATAATTAAAAGAGTGAATTTAATTGCTTTGTAGTGGGTTTGAATTTTGATTTGCGTGAGAGGTGCGGTGTGTTTGGGGCTTTGATCAGTGATCAGTGAAACGTTATCTACATTACAAGCGAATTCCATGTTTATTTCATAATTTTAATAATTTAATTTTAAATTCTACGTCGTGTGTTATAAAAATAAAATAAAAGTAAACAAAAAATCACCTGCAATGATGTCCTCGAAATTTATCACTACAAAAGCTCCTATGTTACATAGCTATTTAATAACAGAAATACCTTGAGGATGTATTAAAATAACCAATTCCTGTCGTTACGTCCGTTAATATTTCGGTTGACGACATTCAACAAAGACTCAATGACCCAAATTGTCAAGTCCGTCTTTTTCGACGTGATCTTTATTAAATGGCGACACGTTCGTTAAATAGCTATTCGTGGAGTTATTGACCCGACTATTTGGGAGTAACTATGCGTATGAGTATGATTGTTAGAGGCAATTGATTGAAATACCTACTCACAATTTAGTTTAAAATACTGTAGGTAGGTACATATAACAGAAAAGGGACAGGTCTTAGGATGAAAAATGCGTGGGCTAGTTTTAATTACACGTTGAATTTGACCCTGAAATGAGTCGTGTCTATAAAAAAAAACATACCAACCGAATTCAGAACCTCCTCCTTTTGTTGAAGTCGGTTAAAAAGCAACATAACTCACAACAGCTTTTCACTCGTAACACGTTATTCTTGTCGCTTACCTCGAGGTATTTTTCAGTTACTGTAAAATTTCTCAAAATATAACTATGTAAGTAATGATATCTTTCTTAGGCAATTTAGCCTTAGACAAAAAGGCAATACAAGCCAAATATTCTAACCTAAACCTATATTGTAGGACGCTGCACGTCTATTATAAAACACTCCTATTCATTACATGTGTCGTGTACCTACCTATAATGTAGGCAGATGATTAATCTCTTATCAATGCCTTTAACAACAATATTTGCACAAAATACAATTGACTTTGATTTTCAATTAAGGTTTGTGTGTTAAATGCGCGTTATTTTTGATAACAGCTCGGGTTTGCGATGATAAGGGTCTTTTGATAATTGAGATTTTTGAATGATTGACGGTTCATCGATGCTGTGAAAATCCTTTCGATTACTTTTACGCTTCACGGCGGCAATGTTCCAAATAATTTTATTGACATTATCTAGCTAACACTAGATTGCTTTGAAATCATGTTTTTGTCGTGAATTAGATAGCTCTATCAGTAATTTTATTATACGAAAGTTTGTGAGAATGAAAAGATGGACGATCGTTACTACTTTAGAGGCATGATTTTATCGATTATGATAAAAATGCATTTTTAACGATGTAAAAATCGTCGTTATTTGTTCCCAAAATAGTAGAGCTACGAGTAGATAATGACAAGGTAATTTACAAATACCTACGAATATTATTGAGAATTCGGTTGCAAAGTTTGGCATTCAAATGCACACTTCAAAGTGTAAAGTAAAATTGAAAATTAATTACAATGTTTCGATTGCAGAGTTGTGGGTTAACTCGTTAGAGCTCGTTAACTCTACTTTTAAAAACAAACTTTTAGCCCGGTAAATAAGCTCAAAACGTTAACTAGCATTCTGTTAGATTGTAAAGGTTGTTTTCAAATAAGTTTTGGTAGTTATAAAACCTAACGGCCGGAGTTTTACAAGCTAATTAGATGCAAAAACTGACCTTAGTCTGTTTCACTAAACAACGCTAAAAGATTAAATCGAAATCTTAGATAATCCGTCATTTAGACCAAATATCGAAATTAAAATAATCGTTTGAGTTTGATTCTAGTTTTGAGCTTCGTTCTATGATTTTTTAAAATTTTATGCAGAACAGGCCAAGTAGGTATGTGACTTTTTAATACAGACCTAAGATTGTTTCAGGACTTCACGAGTTCATCAATCAAGGCATTTGTTTCTGATTTCTATTTAAAAATGTCTATATCTTTTAATCTAGAGCTTGTATAGGCTTGTACATAAGTGACAGGTTTGGAAAATTTCCAGTCGAGTGAGGCAGCTAAAGATGTCTACTGATGTGAGAAGACGCGCGGAAAGTGCACCGGTCTCTGCGAGAGAGTCGCTGCTATATTTAGGGTGACAACAAATTTTGGGCAAAATCTTTGGGAAATTTCCTTATTTTTGCTTAAATTTTTAGAAAAGGATACCTGATATGAAAGCCACCGCTAGTCCAAGATGAGTTATTTTACCCACTATAATCTCGACTCGAATTTGCTGGCGTTGGCGTTGTTGAGTAAGTAGAGATAGTATTATATTCTTATCTTGTGCACCTTGCATTAGAAATATTGTCTGTACACAGTCTACTTTTAACGAACATAAGGTTCAATTTTCATTTATCGGCGTTTGCGAATGTAATATTATTAAATCTAGCTAATCTATTCATATAGTTGTTCATGACAGGTCGAGAGGACTTGACTGGAGTGCGCGTTGTAAACTAGAGCTGGCTACTGAGGACGCGGCGAGGGCACTTGAGCTCCACGAGAGGCGTTTGCTGCGCCTCGCTGCAATACTTAGGGTGACAACAAAATCTGTACCAAGGTATTTTTTTTTGTAAGACTGTTCTTGTTACATTGATATTGCATTAATGTAAGCCTTACAGGTGGATCTTTTTATCCCGAATAGGCTTTGTTATGTTGAGGTTCATTAACTTTATTTTTGACAAATGTAAAAAATCGTTTATTGTTTTTATAATCGTTCCTAAACTCCTTATTACAGGTATTTTGTGCACGATTACCTACTAACTTTTTAATATTTTTATTGGGATCATTCCCTTAGCTGACATTTTTATGGTAACCCTACAATACTCCCTCCATTGTTAGGCTAGGTGACATCAGCGATTATTGAACCAAATACTCGTATGCACGGTACCTATATGAAATACTAGCGGCCGCCCGCGACTTCGTACGCGTGGACCTCGTTTTACTCCATTAGGGGTGGAGTTTCGTAAAATCCGCTCTTAGCATCTATAGCGCATACATTTAAAATTTCAACTCTCTTACTTTAAACACATAGGACNACGACGGTGACGATATACTCCACTCTCCATTTAATGTAAATCAGTGCCAAATCCACGTCGAGTAAACACTAAGTTGCACGGTTCCCGTATTCACTATGCGAGCCAAACTCCTGCGACTGCCGGCCAAACAACTGTATCTAAATATTACCATAATCCAGCATTTTGTCGGAATTATTCATCGGAAAGTGCAATAGCAAAATGCAGACCCGGCTGCTGAATAAGGCTCAGATGTTTACTGACTTTGAAGTCTCAGTGTTGCCCTCATTAAATTTAATATGTTTTATCCGGAGCTCAGGTATTTTACGTCTAGCTAAAAACTGTAGCATCTTATGTAGATGGAATAAAGGATATTTTGCAGCAAAAAAGTAAAACTTTATGTGCTGGCAACTGTTCTTATAGTGGAAAACTCAAGAGGTTCCTGGAGAAATTCTTAGTAACATGGAATGTTACTTTTTCGCTTTGCTTTACCAGGCTTTGCGATTCTCAGTAAGTCTTTTAAGCAGTTGATAAAAATAGTAACTTGACATAATCTTGCAACAATATCTGATTATGGCGTCCCAAAGTTACGAGTGTGAACAGAAAATGAAATAAACTCGCATTTAATTCAATGGTTAATACATTGATAAGTTGTCTAATTAGGAACTTTCTGAGTTTGTATGAAAGCAGAGGATAATCTCCCAAAGCATTATACATTCCTAAAATACAAAGCATTATATTAAATACTAGCTTTCCGCCCGCGGCTTCGCCCGCGTGGAATTTTGTCTGTCACAGAAAAACTTTATCACGCGCGTTCTTGTTTCAAAAACCGGGATAAAAACTATCCTATGTCCTTTCCCGGGACTCAAACTATCTCTATGCCAAATTTCATCAAAATCGGTTTAGTGGTTTAGGCGTGAAAGAGGGACAGACAGACAGAGTTACTTTCGTATTTATAATATTAGTACAGATTTGAAAAGCTGAATAATAATAATGTAGGGGAGACCGAGCTGAGTTGTAACAGAGGAAAGTTGCGACATTGACGATTTTTTGGAACTTACTAACTACGAGCGGGCTCGTAGCAGT